GGCTCTCGGTAATTACCGTCGGCACCGATAGATGTCACTGATACGCCACAGAGGAATGTCGGTAGACACCGACGGACGGTGGCACTCCAAACACGACCCGGCAGTTTGACATTATTTTGAGACTCGCCGGCGGGGCGGACATCAGATAGGCGGGCGGTAATTATTGGGGCGCCTAAACAGCGATCATCTGCTAGTTAAGTTTCCGCTCGTTAAAAGCATACGCATCGGCTTCCGTCTAAGATATTTCGCATCGAGATGTAGCCTTATCTCCCCTGCGTGTTTTTGTCGACCAGAGACCCATGACGTGCATTTAGCTGTGGAGCAATAACGAACATAATCGGCATTGCGCGCATCATCCACTAAACTTTACTGACACAAGAAACATGGGCACCACTCTGGCAGTTATTCACCCCGCATATCACGGGGGCTATTACGGCCAGATAGTCTCCCTCCCGGCGGAGGACGGAATGCCGTGGCGGTGACCACTCGGCTCTGTGGGACGCGCCGACCTGTGCCGGCCCGGATCGACCGTCACGGCACGGAATGTCGCCCCGGCTCTTATCACGGGGACCGTCGATGGACGCGCTAGTGGATCAGATCAGTGGATCAGATTGAGATCGGAGCTGCTGGCCAGCGCGGCGTCTGACCGAGCGGCAGGGCCGGCTTCTCGGAGTCAGACGGCCGGCCGGCTCCTGACCGGAGCCAGGTGGTCCGGGTCGGCTCTCCGGCAGAGTCGCTGGGAGTCCAGTATGAATTGCGGAGGTCTATCACGTTACCTACAGTTGATTGGTGTCGGTGTGTCCGTAGCATGACGCTGGAGCCTGGACCTGCCGCTGGACATGCGGACGTTCTTACGACAAGCCCTACATGATGCGTGATGTCAGGACCATACGTGCATGGCCATGGGTGACGAAACACCGTACTGATAAAGTGAGCACGAACCGTCTACCACAGGGGATGAATCAGACCCAACTCAACGTCCCGGTCTCCGGAATAATTCAGCCGAGCCATTGACTGGCGGGCTGGGAGCGGGTCCGATAGGACCTTTGGAAATATTGATCAGCGCTGGGTGCCGAAGATAGAACAAATCCACGAGTAATGTGCGGCTGATGTGAAAGGGGATGAGCTCCATAAAACACAGCGTGGCGGCGGTGGTACAGAGACGACGTTGAGTCAGGATTTGGGGCCGACGGGATTGGCCAAAGGACCAAAGGGGCATATGAGACAGCTACCGCTGCAATGCCTAAGACCACGGGATAGATGCATAAATACATGTACAAGAAAAAATGGTATAGAATAACAAATAACCGTCGGTACCTCAAAGTTCGTGTCACAAATTCCTCCATCAACATGAGGGTTACACATGGACACTTGGGCTCGACTGCTCCAGCTGTCTCATCCCTCACGTCTCGGTCTTCTGTCTGCTGTCCTCCAAAAGGACCCTCTGCCGACTCGGCGGTGGGCAGCGCCTCCCTCCATCGTGTCCTACGAGCGTCCATCCGTGTGTGATCATGCGCCAGAAATGTTATCGGCCATCACCAAAGGAGCCGCCCGTGTCGCCAGGGCACCTGGAATCACCCGAACGCGTCCCTTCTGTCCGGACCGACCCAGACCGGTCCTGGATGGTCCACACCGGACCATCATGGACCACCGCGGACCATTTGAGACCACCGCGGACCATAGTGGACCACGGCTCGGACCGGGTCACCGGGGCGCAGTCTATCCGGCTCCGCCGTCACCACGGCGCCTAATGGTCATTTCGATGTCCACGACTGTGTTGTTGACTTTTTGTTTTGGTCTAATGCAGTTTTAATGTAACGACGGGAGGGCGGGCGGCGGCCCGGCGGCCCGGCGGCTCACAGGTGATCGTACAGGTGAGATACCGGAGGTCGAGGCCGCCGGCCGGACGCACCTACCGACAGCCGGCCGCCACGGTTTGGCAGAGGACTTTAATGGACCGTTCCCGAGCCATCCCGGCCGATTAAATCTGCAGAGGATGGCCTTATCGAGACGCAGATCGGCCCAGGGATAAGGAGCTTGATTGATATTTCTTTCCGAGTGGCGGCATTAATTTCCTAATTGGCGGCCGTAATGTAAACAGTGAGAGAGCCGCTGTGTGTGTTTCGGCCGCCGGCCGGCGCTCGTCTTTGTGTGCCCGCCGCACGACATCCATCTTCCCCAGGGAAAGTCCATGAGCGTCCGGCAAATGGTCCTGGCCACTTTCCAGGCGCAGTTCGGAAGGCGCCAGTGACGCGCCCCGTCCGAAAACAGCCAGATGGTAGATCGAGCCCGCTCCAATCGCGGCAGCTGCTCGCCGGGCCAACTATGAGTTATACGGCGCACCTTTTTGCGTCTATTTACGGGCCGTGCTTTCTCAAACAGCGGGGCGTTTTAGTGCCCCCTCTCAACACGGCTCATCACGAGAGGGCCATCACGGCTCGCTCGTCTGATGGCCGGCCAATTTAGCGGGTCGGCCCGGCGCGCGGCGCCGCCCGCTGTTTACCGTATGCTGCAGGTCTCAACAGGCCGCTATTCTTCGCGGCTCTCGGCCGGACCAATTTCCGCTATCTGGCGGCCGTCGACGCGTCGGAGACGACGCTCGACGCGGAGAAGTTGCGTCGCTATCGGTGCCGACATCGCGCCGGCTGCATAGTGAGCCTGTCAGCCTGGCGGAAAGATAGCCGAGGACAGTGCCGGCCTTCCGGCGAGCCGCGGACGCGCGCAGGAAACGGCAACAATGGCAGGCCGGCCGCACCAAATAAAATGCTCACTGTCTGGTGTGATTTAGAACGCAGACGGAACGCCGCCTGTTTTCCTCGGGGAGAGATACTGTTTTCCGACGGGTTTGTTTGGCGTGTTGTTTTGAAGAGCGAGAATCGTTTTTGCCCCGTCCAGACCGTCGTTCTTAAAAGTTTCATCGGCCGAGAAGTTGGTGGGCTTAAATCAAATGCGACAGGAGTTTGGAGCTATTGGCTGGGGCTGACTGAAGGGGCACATCACTTCCCATTGGTCCGTGGGGGTCAGGGTGGGTCGCAGGGTCGGGGGAGAGCACGGTACATCGGTCAGACGAGCGGACTCTCCAAACTTGGGACGGCTGGTTAACAAACTCACATAGTCGGCTGGCTGAGAGCGACGGCCGAACTGCACCGGACCATGGCGTGTTTCGCGGCGTGTCAGATCCTATCTGTCAAACTCAACAGGGCCAAATGGTCCTGAAGCGAGCCCTGGGCCGGCTGCCTGTGCGAGTTATGCAGTCAAACTGGCGAAACGGTGACCGTCAGTCACCATCTGGGCCGCCGCAATTATACTTTCAATTAGGTACGTTCACAGAAAATGTTATAGAGCTATAACAGATGCTGAATTGAACGGCTGAAATGCTGCAGACATTCCGTGAAAAATACTTGTTAGGTACAGAGGACATCGAAGGATCCGGGTAGGTAACGACAAACTAGTCACCGACATCAATTACAGAGTAATTAATAGCTGGATTCCAAGATTCTGATTGACATCAGTGTAGTGATAGCGGAAATCACATTAGTTGACGTCGATAGGTATAACGAACAACTGTGGCTGGACAATGGACATTGCCAGATTCCTTAGTGGCGTGTCCAGCTATAATTCAGGATGAATTAATTAAACCGTAATGTGTGTGGATTGCAATGACAGCAACAATATAACAGCAGTCATGAAATCTCTGCCACATTTACACAATGCATACCATCACGCTCAATTCTTTCAAAGACCCACAGGTTTCTGTGAGGGCCCAGTTCATATAGAAAAGCCAGAAGGCAAATGTCACTTTTCCAAAGTGCCACCTTTCAAAGGGACACTTATGGTAACATTGGTGCCGGTGTGTAAGGGTGGCTATATAAACCTTTCTGTCGGGACCCCCTTTTCAAAAAGTGTCCCTTAGCAGCAAAGGGGCTCTATATGAACTGGGCCCTAGGTTCGTCCACCTTTAGCTCAGAGGCAGTTAGTTTCCGCTAGTCAGTGGTCAGTCAGACCCCCCTCCCCCATCCCCACGGTTCATGACCGCTACTCCAGAGGCCGGTCTACCCTGACCTTGGCCGCGGCCCGCCGTGCCGAGAGCAGCTACTAAAGCGTGTACGTCCTGCCGGCGACGCAATGGCCGGCGCCAGCCGCTCGCCGAGTCCATATCTATATATTTGGAGGCGACAGAGACCATTGTGTGTTTAAGCCGCGCGGTCAATTTGTATGCAGAAGTGATGGCAGCGCGCTCAGTTGGTTCATTGTTAATGGGTGCATTTAGACCTGACGTAATGCAGATGCGGTCGGTTTAGGGCGTACTGGTGATAATTTTCTCGCGCCCCTAGCGGACCGAGGCCGGCCAAATTTGGCGGAAATGCTGGGCGGATGCGTGGAATGACTCACGTGTTCGCCGAAACCCTTTGGTGGCCTGATGGCGGCTTTAGTGAATTGTGAGGACATTAGCATCGCCGTCTTCGAGACGTGCAGGACTGTAAACTGGCCATTAAAATGGTGATATATTCGTTCGCTAGAGACCGGTCGACAAGTTGGCTGATCGTGGCGCGGTCTGGGAGTCTGATCTGGCTGTCAAATGCAATCACCCTGTCGTCAGGCCTGTACTGATCGGTCGGTGACGGTACGGCGCTGGTTAGAATCGGTCACATGGCTCCTGACGGTTGTGGATATGTGCACCAGTGCCCCTCGGACCCTCTTATACGGCCTTGCTCGGACCTCCTCCCCACCGTTTTAATGTCGACTTTTCGAAAAAAAACCCGGTCCGGACAGCTCCCAAGCTTTTTGAGCCGCCTGGCGATGGACGACTCGGCGCCACCGTCACGAATTAGACTTTCATCGTCGGCTGGTGGTGGGCCCGGCGCGGCGGGTCGGTCGGCCGTGCTGAGGGCTGGGTCCGGGCGGGTCGACTGCGCGCCGCAGCGACACTAGCGCCGCCTAGCGGGAGCGGCGGTGAGCGGCCGGCGGAGCGTCCGGCCACGCACAGTCGGCCGGCGAGATTCAGAGGGGAGGGTCGCAGCGAACGTCGCGCGTACACCGTGAATACCGGCGTGATCAGGAGAGACTGAGAGACCGTGTCGTGAGGAGAGAGGAAGTGGTGCGTTACAGAGGACAGACAGGAGTAGCCGGGATACCCGTAAGTACAAATATCGAGCGGAACTCTGGATTGTGGAGTGTTGTGGACTTGGCCGTTACGTGGGGGAGACCAGTGAAGCTGAAAAATCTGATAGGGTATTTTGTGAAACTAAATTACGGCATTCGTTTTAACACATACTGCATCGTTATTGAGGAAGTTGTCTAATTCAATTATTCACATTGTACTTGTACAATAAACGTGCGCGGTCTGTCCATTGACGTGTGTCGTAACGACATCGAGGTTGATGCAGCTCCGATCAAAATTGATTCCCAAACTGGAAATGGTATGCCCACAGCCCGCTGCCTGGTAACCGTAGTAGTGGCGTTTTCACATGATACACTTGATTTAAAACTGCTCGATACATTTTCCCGGAATCTCAGTCGGTCCAATTCTGCAAACTATTGCCACCGAATGCGGTCGGCGCGGGGAACATATTAGGCTTTATACCAACAGACAATGCCATGTCGACATTGGCGTTCTTTTCGTGTCGGCCACAAACAAGTGGTCTGCACGCGATTGGTATTGCGTGTCGATCAGTCGCCACCGGTCCTGGCACTGGTCGGTCGGGCGGCGCCGCGCCGGTTTCCCCTCGGCTGCGCTCAACAGCAGCAGCAGCAGGATTCTTCCTGGTCGGGCTGGCCGGCCTTCGGGAGTCTCCGCGTGTCGTGCCGTTTCACTTTTATCAGAGACTGCACTGGTCAGCTCCAAGTGTCTGAAGAGTGATATTTAGTCCTGTCAGTCACCCGATCACGCAGTCAGTCGCCTTCACAGGCAGTCAATAGCTGTCCTATGTATAACCAACCACACGCAGTTCACTTTGTCCTGGACGGCTAGCCCTTCAGCCAGTCACCCAGTCACCCAGTCCACTCAGCCATTTATCCTACAACAGCGTCTGAGTCGGCGAGCTCTCCTCTAGAAAACGAGTCGAGTTCACTGAACTCGAACAAACAGACCTGTCGCCGAGGCCGGTGGGCCAGACACTAAAAGCGTGCCAATGTCTTGTCACGTCCAGTGAAGTGTTCCCTGAGGGGCCGTCACCCGGCGGCAAACGGCGCTCGATCCGACCCGGCCCTGCCGTCGGCACCGACAGGGCACATCGCCACAAAACGCCAAGGCTTGCATTAATAACGCCGACCCTTAGGCAGATTAGTTTTCGTCGTTAGTTCGGGCTCCGGTAGGCTCCGGCAGGCTCCGGCTGGCGGCTGTCTAAGTTAGCCCACGGAGGAAGGGAGGAGCTGCGAACTGGGGTGCAATGAGGTTCCGAACAGGTCTCCCGGGACAAAGTATCTTTCGCTCGTACTGCATCGCTCAGGTCGATGGGGTCAAGTTCTTCGAAACTGGTGAAGAGTCTTACTTGGATAGTTCATGTATGCATAGCGGAAAGTCTCTGCATGTTTGATACTATTAAAACTCTTCCTCGAATCCGATCAAATATGTGTTTTAAACTTTGTTCCTGGCAGTTGTCGTGCCATCCAGGGGCTAATGAATGGCCAACTAACTTTGGTGTACTAATTGTGTGTGCCATGTCGTCCAATTTCGCACCATTGGAGGACGGCGCCATTATCGTTCGTTATTGGCCCTTACAAGGACACTGTTGCAATGTATGGCGGCACCCCACACCACTAGCAGGGGCGCGCCGGGCGAGCAGGGCTGGGGACCGGCACCTCTGGCACCCGCTGTGGAATGTGCCCTCGCGCGGTATGTACCAACACCCGTCCCCCACTCGACGACACAACCATGCACACAATCAATACCATCAACCGTAAAACTCTCCGGGGAGCTCAAAGGCGCGCGCGTGCCTGCCGCCGTCCGCCCGGGCCAGCGGGCGATTTGACAAGCTCGGGCGCGGCGGGACCCCTTATCGGGGCTGCTGGCGCGGCGCCGGCGCCGACGCAGGGGTTCCACCGACCCCGGGGAAATGGTGCGTGCTCAGAGTAACGCGGCGCCGGTTCGGCCGCCGTCTCCGCCTGCCGGAAGGGCCTGTCCTGTGTCGAGCGGAGCCGAGCCACCGCCGCCGGCGCCAGAGCGCAGCCCGCTGATTTGATTGCACTTTAGAGCCACTTACAATCGACTTCTTGTAGTCGTTTTTATCGCCAGACATGCGAGCTGCTCATGAACCTATCCGGTTTAATGTCGTGGAAATGCTGCTTTTTGTGGCTGACATCGGCGAGTTGCAGGCCGTATTTTAGCGGCGGAAGTGTATCGATTCGCCCTATCACTGGCCTGAGTAATGGCGCTGGAGACGGGCCACAGACACGACACGGTCATTCATCAGCCGAGGGCAGCGGCCGGTGCAGCGTCCCCGTGCCGTGACCCCGCCGCCGGTGACCTGTCATCCCTGACCCCTGACCTGAGGCCGGGCATGTCACTCTCCTCAGGGAGCGATACTCTAATCGCACGGTGACGTCAGATAGAACAGAGCTCCAAAGTCCAGGACTGGGCTGCTAGGGATGGTGTGTTTACCTTCCGAGGAAATATGATGAGGCTGATCGGAGCTTCATGCAACGGGACTCATGAGGTCTCCTCTCTAGACGGAATCAGATATGCATCGGGCATATATGCTACATCACTAATCGCTACAAGCTCTGCCCTAGTCACTGTCAATTATTTGATATGTAATGCTCTCAGCTTTTCTCAAACTGCACGAAGGCTCTCACCTTTCTCCCTATCAGACGGGCGGGAGACTCTCCACTGCTCCGGCACAGTCCCGTCTCTCCCCAGCGCCGTTCCGTGCCCGGAGCTCTCGGCGTCACCGCCCCGGGGGATGGTCGGTCGTCGTCAGCAGCGTCGGGCGCGACGGAAGGGTCGCCGCTCTCTGCCCCGCTCCCAGAGGACCGGCGCCGTGTCGATACATGCCAAATTAGATTCCTCCTTCTCCTCTTTCTCCTCCACCTCTCAGCTGCTACCACGGCCGCTGCGGACTGGCTGGGCTCTGCCGTGGGTCACCAGCCGAGCCATTCTGCATCGGGTCTGTCCCTGTCCGTTCCCGGACCGGCCCTGTTCGTTCCGGGTCCGGCACGTATCGACCGAGCTGTGCGGCTGCCCCTCAGTCGAGGAGCTGTTTGTGGTGCGGTCGTCCGCGTTGGTCCAGCCCTCAGGCTTTTGTTGGCTCGGTGGCGGACGCGCTAGAGCTGCCACCGATACGATCGCCATTAGGGCATCTTTACAAGTTCTCTCCAGGTTTGCCTGCGATGGTATCGAGGCTGACGCAGCCCGGTGAGTTGTAGGCCGGCGCGGGGGCGGTTTTTGCGCGGCTGTCTGGCTGGAGACGCAGTGCCACCGTGCGACCACCGTCAGATGAATCCTCCGTCGGGCGCCCCCGTGAGGCACCCCTGTCGGGCGTCACCGCGGGGCGCCGTGGGGCGCCCTGCCCAGGAGCTGCCAAAGTACCGTCCTGCCGGGCGGCCAGCGCCGCGCGTCGGGCGCCGCCGCCCAGGGGGCGGATTAATGGCTCGGTTTTGACCGCCGTCAGTCAGACCTCAGATGGGCAGATAGCGTCGCCGGCCGATCGGCGGAGCGACAGGCCGCTGAGCGCCGCACACCGCCGCCGAGCAGCCGAGCCGCTGAGCCCAGCCTTCGCTGGTTCGTCCGCCGCACGCCAGGGAGCGCGGCGACCCTCAGCGCTGCCGAGCCGCGGCCGTGCAAACCACCATTTGGGCTGCATTAACCAGGCCTTGAACTCGGGTCAATTCGCGTGTAAACACGGACCTTCCTTGTTCTGACCCGTGCAATTACCTAATTACCGGATATAATTATTGCCGAGTGTTATCGGGGACGGGTTTTTGCGGCGGCACTGCGTTTGGGAGCGGGACGCGTTTGCGGTCAGGTGGCTGAGAACGACAGCTGTTCGAACGGAGTAGCGACGCCGCTGGCTAAAACGACTGCGAACGCTACCAGCCCTGTCTGTGGAGGTCTGTGGAGGCTGCTCTGGCTCTGGGGGACAGCTCCGGCGCAGTGACAGGATTGCTCGGCGTGGAACAATGCCCGGCCAGGAAGCCGGCGCGGGCCGCGGAACGGGGGATCGGTTTTTGCCGTGTATAGCTCCGTCGGCCGGTGCCGACTCTAGGAATTCGCCGCACGCCACCGGGGCGGGCCGGCTGTCTCTCTGGACCTGTCCTATCGCAGGGCTGTATCACTACAGGGACAGAGGAGGCCGGCTGTTGACCTTTAGTTCGGACCGGCCGGGCGCGGTCGGGCCCGCCTAAAACAGCCCCGGCGAGCGGCATTGGTCACGGCCAGGAGTTCCCACGGTTAGAGGACGCACGGGCCCGGACCGGTCGGTCCGGCGAGGCTCACTGCCGCCTTATTTGGACTGATATACCGCTGGTGGCTCTTTTTAACGCCGCGACCGATCGAAGGTGAACATGGCTCACGGAATGACAAACGTTTCAGCTCGCAGCGCAGCGCAATAATCAGTGCAGAAAGTTAGCAAACTTAACGACACATAGCAACCACTTCGCCAAAATAACCAAAGTTTCGAGATGCACCTCGATTCTCTTTTACGTTTGAGGCCCTCACTAACTTTACACCCAGCCCTCACAACTTTGCAAATTAAGTTGGTGAAATCTGATTAGACGGCAGATTTCGGCGGCCGGTGTGACCTTCCCGTTTGGGCCTGTTCTGGCGTTATTTCGATCCCGAGACGGCCCCGTTTCACTGGCGGCAGGCGGGCGGGTCGTGACCGGCCTTGGCTGACCGCCCTCGCCGCCGGTCGGCCGTGCGTGCCCGGCTCAGAGAGCGGCCGCCGGCGCCTCTCGGCTCATCTCGCCGACGTCCAGTCGCGCCGCGCGCCGCGCCGCGAATGCCAATGTGGCGCGGTGGCGGCCGAGACGGCGCACACCCGCGGCGCGGCGCACGCAACGCCGCCTCGGTGGCACCTTGGCACGCCCCGAACATGACAAATTGGGGCGGATGCTGGAACACCAGGCGGGCCACACCAACCCAATTTCTCCGCTCCTGGCCGTTTGTTCCACCAGCGTCACATAAAACTCGTACGCTCGAAATAACTTCCGATGCGAGTATTTCGCATTACATAACGCTCTCGAGCTCGGACAAGGATCCATATATGAATTCCACGCATGTGATCGGATGTCAGTATCATAAGGAGAAGACTGAAGCCTGCTTGAGCCGGTACTCCTGCTCAGTCATACGCCACTGCCTGTTGAGCCGCGCTCTGAGTTGGCAATGACCGGACGATAGTGCGCCGGGTCGCGCGTGCTGTGTTTGTGCGCCCAGCCAGTCCACCGGCCGTGACCCGTCGTATTCGGCACACGACGCACTGACGTCAGCCCTCGTGCACGGTGCGTGCCTGGCAGAGGGGGTATAGTGACAGGCGGCTGGGATGTTGCCCTGACGCCAGCTCAGAGCGTCAGGAGCCGGGGAGCGGGTCTGGAGCCGGTCTGGTATGACCGCCCGGGCCTGGTGGGACCGCCCGGCGCGAGCTGATGTGTACGTGACGCCAGCCGGTTATCTCATCGGCCATAAAGGCGTGGGAATGTACATACGGCGCCGCTCTCTGGCGGCTGAGGTCAGGGCGCGCTGACCACAGGCCGGTCTGCTCCGGACGCTGTGCACATCAAGTCACCACCAGCTCATCAGTCATTCGAATTTCTCCCTCAGTCAAGCACAGTCTCGCTTCCGTCTGTACCAAGCGCATGGTCTCTGTCCTGCATCCCAGACTCGCCTGCGCTGCATTCTCTCTCGGTCAGCGCCGCACGGTGATGGTGGCGGGTGCGGGGGCGGCTCCTGGACCCGAACAGAGGCCGCCCTGTCCCGCTGTCGGCTCTGCTGTCCCACGGCGGGCCGGAGCAGGGTACGGCGGCCGCTCTCCGTGCCCGCTGCTCAGTGCCCTGCCGGGGCGGGTGTGTTTATTTACACTGCCCGGGGTCGGCCGGCAGGGCGGACCGGGGACCGGGGCGTCAGCTGGCGACCCTGACCGCCGGCCGCACCTCTGTGCGACACCCCTGTTCCGCTCCGCTGGAGCCCCCACGCAGCTCCCTGCGCCGCGACAGACCCCTGATTGCTCCCTTCGACTTCTGTCTCAGTCCTGATCCACCGAAAAACAAATGACCACCCAACAACAGGAGCTGGACATAAATTGGGAGGTCTCTCCGTCACCACTTTTGCTTACGTCTGCTTCTGTTCAGTTTGTTTTCGTTTGAAATCGCCTGCGCCCCGGGAGCTGTAAAGGACCCAGATATATTTACGCGTCAGTTTGTCGCACAAGAACACCACTCGGTCCACCGGTCCAACGCGTTGTTCCTACACGTCCCGTGACACTGTTTGGTCCGCGCGGCCCTCGACATTTCCCCACACCGCCAAAAAACCGTCCAACAGACTCTGATGCAGAGTGCGTGCGATCTCCGGCCGGCGGTGAGTCAGTCGAGCCGACCGGGTGGACGGATGGCCTCTCGGCCGGCGGACAGATGACCTTTCGATCGCCACTCGATGCTGCGTGTCTCACTGTCGACCGGCGTCAGGTCGACCTCGTCACCGCGCCGGCGGCCGTCACTCTCTGTCCGACAGGCAGTGTGTCGGTCGACCGGCCCGCGACCGGCGCGGCCCGGCGCCGGTTCTTCTACCCCTTGATGGACGCTCGCGGTCGGCGCCCGCCCGACGGTGCCTTTGTCAGTCGGGTCAGTCGACAAGGACCTGTAGCGGACGTGTGTCTCGATGGTCCGCTCCGCCGTGCGGCCGAGGTGGTCCGTCCGTCCTCCGGACATTCTCCTGTCCCCAGACAGGTTTTTCTCATGGTGATTGTTTCTCGGCGCGCGTTCCAGTTTCAGCGTGCGTCGGCGGCCGTTCGAACTGAGGCGCGCGGCGGGGGGTTGGTGTCCGTTAGGAGGCGGCCGGCTGGTCCGAGAAGGCGCCGTGTCCACTCGGTGCGTCACCCGCCGTCCATTTGGCGGTCTCTGACCCGCCATATATCTCCGCCAGCTGGCCGTCGATCGGTGGCCTTTGGCCCTCGCTGGCCAGCTCCGACTCACAGGTCTCTCCGGCGCGACCTGAGCCGGACCAGCAGATACTGTGATCAGCGGCTCGGTGAGCAGCTCAGGTAGCCCGGCTCTCCCGCGTGTCTCTCCACTCTCCACCGGGCCGGGCTGACCGGGCTGACCTCCGAGACGCTGCTGACCGATCGCCGCAGGCGGGAGGCGGGAGTGGATCGCGTGCGGCCGCAGTCTGGCCCACCCGCCTCCCGAGCCGACCGCGGTGGCCGGGCACCTGGTGTGTCATCAGTGGCAGCCATCACCGCCGCCGCCGCCGCCGCCGCGACGTCCAGGTACTTCACCAAACACCCGGCGGGCCGTCATTACACCGAATTAGCGGCCGACAGGTAATCAAAAACAATACCTGAACCAATCACTCGGAAGCGGCCGCACACAAATTACAGCGCGCGACCGAGCGAGAGGCGCCGGCGCGAGCGGCTGCTCCGTGACGCCCCGCTGGCGCCACCTGGGTCCGAACAGCGAGGCACCTTGTTAATATTCAATAAAAATGATGGCAACTATGCGCTCTGAGTGCCCCAGGCCGGGATGGGCGTCTTCGCGCGGCGTCTGCAGACGGTGCCGCGTCATGCGCGCTCTCGGCGCCGCGGAGCCGAGCACGGTCGAGGGGTGGCGGCTGAGAGTAGAGTGAGTCGCGCGCGCACGGCCCACCGCTCCGCGAGTCGCCGCGGACAGAGCGCCTTTGTCAGACGGTGATGAGAAGACGGCGGCCGGCGGCGCGGCGGACCGCTCCTTGGGGGCACGGGTGAACAACGAACCGGCGAAACGCGCCCCAGATATGGTCGACGTCCCGCTCTAATTGGATACATAACACCCGGGCTCTCCTAGTTGGTTTCATCAGGGCTCGATATGCTCCACATACGACCCAAGGCGCTGTGTGAGGTCAATATATCGGATCTCGGAAAAGGCAGGTGAAGCATCCCACCGTACTGCGCATCGCCTTTTCGTCTGGAAAGGCAGCGCTCGGCAGCGCTAGGCAAGCACCGTGGGCAGGTGAGAAGAAAAACCGTAGGAAACTGGTGATAATCTCACACCATGGTGAGAAGGCGAGACTGTGCAGGGTGTGGACGATCTGGGATCATCCCTTACCGTTCGCCCCGTCTCTCCACCGTTCGCAGTGCCGCCGGATCGCTGCTGCGCCGGCGGCAGGAGCGGCAGGGCGGCATTATGGCGGCGCGGCTCACCTGGCGGCGCACAATAGCGCCGCGCGACGGGGGTCGCGCCGCCGCCGCCCAGCCTTTCAGCGCGCGCTCAGAGCACCGGCCCGACGGCGCGAGCGGCCTATTTTCTAACCCCGCCGGCCGGTGAGGGATTCAATGGTCGCAGTTACCTGGGGAAAATTTCGCAGCCATTCGCCGTCATTTGCCCCGCGGTGTGTTTGACCTGCAAGGCAAACTCTGGCTGTGTGCCCGCCGGCCGTCATCCCGCGTCGACCCCGTCGTTTGCGACGGTCCGTCGTCAGCGGTGGGGCGTTGGGCCTGCCGGCTGGGCGGGATCCATTATCGCCCGTGCGATCAGCGCCGGGGGCGTGTCGGCATGGAGAGCGCCGGCCGGCCAACAATTGGCAAACACGGCGGGCAAACAGAGCCCGGCTCGGGCGAGCTGCGGTCGAGCCGATCCGGCGCGGCGCCGCTGTTTGCCGAGCTGTAGCCGAGATGATTCCGGCGGCGACATGGTCTGAGCCGGCGGCTTACAGCCCTGCGACGAGCTGTCAGATTGGCTGTATTGTGACCGAGCGCGGCGCGGAGATGGAAGAGAGCTTCAATGGGATACCGTTACCGGTCGTCGAAATCCGGTCGAGGCTCCTGCTTTTGGTTTATATAAGCTATAGTTGATTATTAGACAAGTACGGTCTCTTGAAAATAGTTTTTATGCTACGTAGAACGGTCCACATATATAAAACACGTCTAAGTAATTAACTACGATGTCAAATCCCTCAAACCAGCTACCCCTCCCCAGTCCCCACCCATCACTTGTTCGCTTCCTGCACCAATCCTCGTCCTTCTACCCATTCTCCCTTCTGTCCACCCTCTCTCTCCGTCGCTGCATCCCATCACCGCCACCCGTCACCCAACGCGCCGAGAGGAGCGACCAGTATCGATCCTCCCAGCCGATCGTCGCCGCCGTCGCCGCCGCGCTGGAGGAAGCGTTTTTCCTGGACTCGCCTGTTGCCCCGGCGGGCGGCTGACACACCGCTAATTGGCTCGCTGCAGCGACGACTCGACGTGACGTCACGCGTGACACGGTGACGTCACGGGGAGCGTCGCCCGGGATACGAGCGGCGTCGGCGGCGACGTGCGACGGCCGGGCTCTGGCGGGGTGATGTCAGGGGTCGACTCGGCTGCGAGCCTGCGGCGGTGTTTTGCAGCCGCTGGGAGCGGGCCGTCCACGCGTGGGTCGACCGCGTGTGAGCGTGTGTATGCACGGAGACTGGGTGTCGGGTGACGGCGGCCTCGTCGCCAACAGGGTCCGATTTCGGCGGTTGTGTTGATATTTCGGCGCGCGGCCGCGACTCCCGTGACCGCAGTCTGTGCCGACTCCGCCGCGAGTTTCACCCCAGCCGTGTTCCGTGCCAGTTTACCTTCCTGTGTTTCAGTTTCGACATGGCCGAATTGGGCCCGCTCCCATGTTCTGGAGCGATAAATAACGCGTTCTTTCTCTGTTGCAGCGGCGGTGCGATGTGGCTGTGACGGCTGTGACGTCACGCTCCAAGATGACGTCACCGCTGACCCGTATGGCACTGCTGCTGCTGTGGGCAGCGGCGGCGGCGGCGGCGGCGGAGGGGGCGGCGGGCCCGTCTCGGCCCCTTGTGGCTCAGCTCGACCTGGGAGAGGAGACGCGCCGTCTCACACACCTGGTAGTGGACGACGGCCGGCTGTTCGTGGCCGGCGTGAACCGACTGCTGGAGCTCGGCCCCGACCTGCAGGTGGTCTCTCGGGTCATCACCGGCCCGGTGCAGGACGCGCCCGTCTGCCCGGCCTCCGGCTGCCCACCTGAGGTGGCCGCTGAGCCCACCGACAACGTCAACAAACTGCTGCTGGTGGCCGGCGAGCGGCTACTCAGCTGCGGCTCGGTCCGCCAAGGCGCCTGTCGGTTCCACGACCTCAACAACATCTCACGCTCGGACTTTGTCGACGTGGAGGTGGCGGCCAACGACGAGACTTCGTCGACGGTGGGCTTCCTGGGCCCGCAGAGGTACCAGCGATGGGAGCCGCCCCAGGTGCTCTACGTAGGAGCCACCTTCACCGATGTGGGCCCGTACCGACACGACGTGCCGGCCATCGCCACGCGCCGGCTCGACGACCTGCAGTACGCAGAGTTCTCCTTCTCGCAGCAGTCGCTGATGCGCATCGATGTGAAGTATCGTGATCATTTTCTCGTGCAGTATATGGACGGCTTTAGTGCCGGTGATTTTGTGTACTTTGTGACGGTGCAAAAGAAGTCGCACCTGCCCGGTCAGGACGAGGTGGGCTACGTGTCGCGGATAGCGCGCGCCTGTGTGACGGACCCAAACTATAACAGCTACACAGAGATAACGGTTTCGTGCGGCGCGTATAACCTGGTGCGATCGGCGCACCTGACTTCCGCTGGCGCCGACCTGGCCACGGCGGCCGGCGTGCGGACGGGCGACCCGGTGCTGGTGGCCGTGTTCTCTCCCAGCGACGGCAACACGATGGTGTACCAGAACCGGTCGGCCGTGTGCGTGTTCCCTCTCGCCGAAGTGGACTATAAGTTCAACGAGAACATCCACATGTGCTTCAACGGCACAATGCAGTACCGCAACATGGACTACATCTCGGGGAAGATTCTGGACGGCCAGTGTCCCGAGGCCAGGGTGAGTACCGACGCGGGGCCTCCTCCCTTTATTGCCGCTAATTGGCGGTGTCTCTCTCCCACGCGCAAGGTGACGTGCCTGGTGGGAGGGCCCAACGGGCGGGGTCCACCAGTTATGGTGTCAGCAGGCCTTCAGTTGCAGCCTGGTTAGGCGTAGGGAGAGTGAGAGTGCGCTCCTCATCTCTCGAGGGGGAGGGGAGGTATGTCGAATAATGTGCACCCTGCCCCTCCACCCAGGAACAAAGCGGTGTCTTTTGTCTGCCCGTGCGATGCGCGCCTGGCTGCCTCTTCATGCGCCCGAGGAGGTCACTTAGCGATTGTTGGGACGATCAGGCGGGATTACGCTCTCTCTCGGTCTCGCGGCAAAAACAGGATCACGCTGCCCTCGGTCGGCGGCAAACACAAAGCCGGGCTTACCATAACATTTAGCCGGCGCTCGACCACCTCTCTCTGCGTGGCACGCACCGCGCACCGGTCACGGCCGGCCCGCGCCCGCGCCATTCCACATCGTGGACCAGTCCGGGCCGCACATTTGTTTTGAATCCTGCGAGAGCTGCCTCATTCCGACTCGGGTGAGACGGACGGCCGCGCGGCCCGTCTGGCCTAGTGAGGTTGTTTGCGACCCGGCTGTAATTGCCCCCAAAGGAGCCAACTTCGGGAGCTCTTTTGCCGGTCGAAGTCGCACGCCGGCTCGGCCGTCGGAGCCGCTCCGGAACCACGCCCGCCTCCCGCGGGCCCACCGCACTTTCGGCGCAACTCCGCCCCGAGGCAACCCCGAGGCACCGCCGGATCCGAGTTAATATCGCTGCTTTGGCGGAGCTGTTTTCGGACGGAGCGCCTGTCATTTCTGCCGCGCTGATGTAAATGACGTCCTCTTCGCGCCACTGCCGCGCTACCGCCCTAATGCGCCGAATTTGTCACTGGCGCTGCGCGCCGCTCGCCGCACCGGACGGGGTAATGACATGCGAATGCGGCGCGGCGCGGCATAAGTGACGCTCGGGTCGATGGAGGTCGTCAGGAGGTCATTAATAATTACCGCTTATCGTCGGGATGTGGCCGCAGGAGCTGTGGCCGGCTGTAACAGGGCCTGGCACAGGTGGCCGCCCCGCCGACCTTTGGTTGTGACACGCCAGGTCACGAGGCGCCCTGGAGCACAGGATCGACCGACCTGAAGCGCCGCGCCGGTCGCGATGAGACAGATTGCCGCACCAATCTGGCTTCACCAATCACCGCGGCCCATCGCTGTCAGGACTGGACGCTGCCGACTGTCGGGCAGACCGCGCTGCTGCTGTCGAGTGTGATCGACGTCGCCGGGCCAGCTGCGACGGGCCCTTTGTCGCTCCGACCGCTCCACACCATCGTCATACGTAACTGTCACCGGCAACCGGCGCCGTCCGCCGTTCCGGATGTCGTTCTGGCCGAGACGACGACTCGGAGCACCGCTCTGCCGCCGCTGTCGGTGTTACATGGACCGTTCAGACGGGTTCCTCGCTGCCCGCCGGCGTCGCGGCCGGTGTGATCGCCCGGCCCGTGCACGGCGCGCGCGGTCCTTGTCGCGCCGCGCTCCGACACGGCGCTGCGTCGCCCGAGGACCGACATCACTCAGCGATGGCACCGAGACACGGGCCGACGGCGGTCTGTGGCTGGTCGCAGTCGCTCCCGCAGGTTCGCCGCACCATACACGGCTACCTCCGCTGAGAGATGGCGGCGACACGGCCGCGACGCGCCACATTTGTCCGCCCGCGCCGCGGCTGTCGCGCCGCGCCGGGAAAGTGGTGGAGTGCCGCCGTCATGTATCATGAGTGGTGGCCCGGCGGGGCGCGCCATAGGCCGCGGCGACCCGTCTCTCCCGTCTTTTACCGCGAGGGCTAATCTGTTACACTTGCGTCAACATCATGGCGCCTCAACTCTCTCCGTCTCATCTCTATGCCTCTCATCGTCGCCTTTCATCCATCTTCCTTTCTCATCGTGACCTCACATTTCCTCTTTCTTTGGCTTCCAGCGGTCTAATAATCCGCTCACGCTCTTCCTCGTTCCATCTAACTTTCTGAACTTCTTCCAGCTTCTTTCTCCACTTCACCTCCGTGGCCCGCACTTGTTTCGACCGGGCGCCCTAATCGGCCGCAGCACATAATCGTTGGGTGGGGCTAACTGGCGGCCGAATGCGTGCGGCTATAGCGCTGCCGGCCGTTAGCTCAGATTTACTGGTGCGCTGCTGTCGGCGCCAGCGATATAGCGCTCATCCTGCGACCGCGGCAGCGCTCCTCCCGTCCCCCGCTGGCGGCGGCTGCGAACGACAGCCCAGACTCCCGCCGGCACAGAACGACATTCATGGCGCGCTGGCTACAAATACGGCGTGGCGCGGCGCGGCGAGGAGCGGCGACACGCCGGTCGCCATGTCGCTACCGCCGGCCACCGTAAATTTCATTTGACGGCTAATCAATGGCTCAGCGGCGGCGCCACTGGGGAGCGCTGCACGTGTGCCGCCGCAAACATTTGCATTTTCATGTCGCGTCGCGGACTTCGCGGCGTCGTGGCGAGAGCGCGATGTCGCTGGCGATGTCCCGCGTCGCTCGCTGTGGTGTCGCAGGTTCGTGGGATGGGACTCGCGGTCGTTACCGGGCCTGCTGCCCCCGCGTGCACCCAAGGCCGCCGGCACCGCATTGGTAAACATCGCGTCGGTCGCGATACTCAGCCGTTGTGACACGCGATTTCTCAACACGGAGCGGCTGCGGGCCACCAGCCGTTCTCCAGATGTAATCAGCCGACCTTTTCATCCATCGCCCAGTGTGGTGCCGCCTGGCTGGACGCTGCCACAGCCAGCAATCAGCGCCGGCATCACCAGCCATTATGGATTTGTTTCACACGTCTTACCAGACGCTCCCAACGCTGTGCACTTTCCTTTCCTCTAAACAGTTCCTCAGCCTCTAGATGAATATTCTCGTCACTCTCCTCTTTTGAAACATTTTCTGTCTTCTCACGCATGAACGCATCTAAATCATAATGTAATATGCTTATCTCTCTGCATCCTTGTTCATCTATCTACTTATTAAATTTCTGTCCTGCGTGATGCAATCTACATATGCTGACTACAACAATGGATGATCACGCTTTTCACTCATATGCATCGATCCAACTGGCTCTACAGTCCATAGTTCCCCGCTAGACCCTTCCCACAGACAGTACCTCATTGCCATCGTCCTTCTTGACCGTCTCCTCGCACCACCCCCTCGGTAGGCTCAGTGGGCGTATACCGTCCCCCGTTCTCGGTCGATCGCCGACGAGGAGGTTTATGCCGTGGCGTGTCGGGCCTGCACTGGACTCAGTATGAGATACGCCAGCGACTCACGAGCCTCGCGACCCCACCGGCCTCCAGGGACAATTTACCGTCCCAGGTCGGCGCCGAGGTCGACCCCACCGCGGCGGCACCCAAGCCGATTGTCCGCGGGTTGGGATTCGTCCGCCCGAGTGCCGGATTTCTCGCCATGCGGGCGTTTGCCGTGTCGGCTGCGCTGCGCTCGACTGGATCTCAAGTGGGTCGTATGTTGTGCTCTGGCGCAGATCGGAGGCCATTACACCGACAGAATGTTGGCAGTTGTCGACAGCGATCTGAGTGCTATTACTGGTGGACAAAGAATTATAAGTTCGAACCAACTATCGTCGGCCAATGATGTCCAATTCAACTTGGCGATGAGTTTCGGTCGGATTTCCATACGCCTATTGTTGCAGCCGTGGCAGTTCGTTTAACTACTTCGAATTCGTCCCAACTTATGGTCGCCAGCCCGTGTAAGCCTATTCCGGTCGATAGCATCTGAAAAGATTGCCGAGAAGGACGGCGCGCAGTAGTGGCTGGGCGTTGAAGGAGAACGATCGTGCCTGAGGAAGTGCATCCTGAACGAAATTTCACTCGTAAATCTACGATGCTGCGCGATACATATCAATTTCAGTTTGTTCAGCAGGAAAGATGTAACAGCCTCGCGCTGTAGGCATGAAATTGCTCGAAAGTGACTGGCTCGTACCTCATCGTCTCACACTAGCATGTGCCTAATCTCATAAGTTCGGTCCGACCGACCCAATAAAGTGTCAGGCCTTCTTCCTCATTTTTGAACGGGGAAGACCAGACGTTGAAGCCAAATGGTTTGACCAATGACCTAGCCTTTAATGACCTCACCATGATGGCCCTTATCGGCGGCACCGCTGCGATTTCGGCGCACTGGGACGATAGCGGTTCCTTCGTCTCTGACCCATGAGACATGAGATCAACACTACGGAGCCGCCAAGTCACCACGAATGCCAGGAATACCGTCAGCCCGCACAACAATGCCTTACCGTTGTCTCTTTAGTCACACTGAAGAACCTTATGTGACCTACGCGACCTTTAGTAGACCTCTGGCGACGTGTATTGATTCTCTGGCGGTGGCGTGAACATTGGTATCCTTTTTGCTGCCCGCTGACACGGTGCCTGTCCAAAGTGGGTCCCGTTTGACTCCGTTTGACCCCCGCGGGCTTGTGGTGGTCGAACCGACGACCCAGCGCGGTGTCATTGCTGACCGTAACGTGTGGTTGTTGCAGTGCCAAGAGGCACCGGCGCTGTCATTTTGGTACGATATCGCTGTCAGAAGAGGCGATGGACGCTTTAGTGACGCATTTTTTCGAGACAACCAAGGTCCTATCCATTCTACCCCGCAGGCAATCAGTCGATAAGGCGTAAGGATTTTGTGGCGCCTACCGGACACCTGGGCCAGCTCATAGAGCAGTCCGGTGACGTCGCTGCGGTTCGAGCCGTGCCGATGACGCCACGGGCGCCGTCCAGCGGTGATGGATGACACCAGTTAGCCGCTGAGGGCGACTGACGCTCGGTCGCCGCCGCGGGCTGTCTCCATTGATCGGCCTTGTCTGTCGAGCCAGGGTGTCTCGACTCAGCGCAGCCTCAGCGCTCAGAGGGAAATTTCCCTCTACTCTGAGGTTGAACGGAAATAACAGACGCCATCTCGCCGTCTCGGCCTGGATGCACCTTAATTAAAAGCAATCTTCCGCCCTCTAAGCGCCATGCCAAAGCAGCTTTTCAAATATGCTTCAAAGGATATGGCCAAAGCTGCGTTCTACTCTACATGACTTGGTCAGCCTCAGCGCCCTTCTTCCGGCATTATTGCAACACCCAGGCTCAATGTCTCCCTCATAGGTGGTCCTTTTCATTGCTCTCTCATCTCTCCCGCGGCTCCTCCGACCCGTCTCCAGGGAGCTGGTCCCGCCTCTCCGGCGCCGGCACCGTGCCATCGAGCCCGCTCGTTCAACCTCTCCTCTATGGACCTCAGCTGAACTGTGACGGCTGAGAGGCACCGCCGACCGCCGACCCGGTCACGGAGGGTGCCGCAGGCCAGAAAATGGACCGGGTCACCAGTTGCTCCGACACGTGCCATGATTGGCCTGAGCAGAGATCGATGGACGAGCGAATGATGTCTCCCGGTTTACGTCAAGCCGGAGGAAGCTTACCTACGTCCTACTCCTCTATAACAAAGACATTCTTCCGATGGAATTCGGTATGGTAGAACGTATAAAGGTTTATCAACGAAATTCTTCAGTACATCTCAGGATCATTCACGGCTTCTGAGCTTAATGAAAATTCCCATGTTATCAGACGTTCTTCCGTCATGCCGAACACCTTATTTGCCATACATCCAGCATCTGGCCCGGTCGTGGCAGCTCGTGGGCCCGGCCTATGATCGCGTACCAAAACTATCCTAATGCCGCGTGACATAGGCGTCGATTTATGTGGCAATATGGCGCGAAAACAACGGTCTCTGGTGCCGGACGGCAGTGGGCTGGGTGACGCCCTATTTCACACGATCGGCCGTATTTCGCGCGGCGTCTGATGGGGGCAGCCGCTGGCGCCACAGGGGTCGCCAGTAACCGCAAATCATCCACTGAGCGAGCGGGCTGTGGGCGGAGTCGGAGCCGCTCTCCGGTGAGGTCAAACGGCAGAGGAAGGCAGCTGTCAGGTCAGGTCAGCAGTCAGGTCAGTGTTCAGGTCAGTGGTCAGATCGTCGTTCAACTCAGAGGCGAGAAGCAATTCTGGTCTTCGTTTGCTGGCTGACCACGGTGACGAGTTAACTGGCGGCAAGAAATCACACTTCCGGGAAAGGAAACGATACGGTCACGTCGTTCAGACATGGTCTAGCTGAAGTCAGACACGGAGAAGGTGAAGAAGGTGCAAACTGAGAGGTGGGCGACGGTGGTGTGGGCCGGAAATGACTGAGTGGGTTGAGCGCGGCCGCCGCGCAGAGCGACCCCCACGGGAGGTCAGTTCCCGTGGGCGGTGACGGGGCCGGGGCGTTGTTCCCCACCCGTGGATACCCTGGGGGCTGACGATGACCAGACCACAGGGGAGGGTGGCCTCGCACTGCTCTCAGGCACTCCGGTGGTTACAGGCGCCATTAGCGCTGAGAGGACCTCACGTGGGAGGGTCGGGCGTGACGAGACACGGTGGCTGCTGAGAGGGAGGGGGTCATCTCATGGCCGTCGCAGCCGGGCGTCCCAACCTAACGACGGTGCTTAGCGGGGCGGCCGCGGCGCTCCGACCCGCCGCCGCCGAGTTATTTCAACGAGACCCATGAGCGGTGCTGATTACCATTGTATCAATGAGCCATCCGGCTGAATGGGTGTATTAATTTGCCGTGCCGGGCATCAATATTCATGAGGAGGCGCACATTACGGCCCACTTGAGGCGTCCCAGCGGCGGTAATCGGTCGGCAGGGCGCTGGCTGGGCGCCGGGGCGACGGAGCGCCACCTCGAGCGCAGCACGTATCTCATGGACTCGCCCAAAACGACCGTCGCGCCGCGGCGTTTGACGCTCCCACCGCCCGTCACCGATCGTTAGGCCTGGTGACGGCGACCTGCCTGCGAGATCGGTCCTGACCTGTGACCTGTCTGTCTCTGAAGGTAGTTATGCCTTCGCGGCCCGGTGAGCAGAATTCAACCGACTGGAAGCTCGCTGGAGCTCGCGGGCGACAGCGCCGCTAGGCAGACGCCCCCGAGCTGTCGCCGCGCCGGTGGAAATGACGCAGTACCGCCCCAGGACTGGCATTGATTGCCGCTGTCGACAATCTCGGTCCGATCTATTTGCATCAGCTTGCCGGCTCGGTTAATCTCGGCACTGATGATGGCGTCTCGGTCGCGTCTCCGGGCGCGATCGCACCACAGCGACACTCTGGCAGACAGTGCTTGGTCCCAGCAGAGGCGACGTCAGACTCCCGATGGAAGCTCCCGGAGCGGGACGAGCGCGTTCCGGGAGCGCCGCAAAGGTTTCCGGCTCGTGTCAGGATTGTCTCCGGCGCGCCGCTTTCATCCCTCGTCACCGGCGGCTGCAGCTCCCGGGAAGCTGACTACGACTGATTATGCAGTGTCGGCTTTCATCAGCGACCGGGAGGATGTAGCCAATAATCTCATCTGCGTTTTAATGGGGCCGACTCGTTAGTCCCTGAGTGAGACGGCCGGCTGGACGCGCGTGGGTTCCGGTCGGGTTGGATCCGTCGCCTCCCGGGAGCTCGCGCCAGCTCCGGCCGGCTTTGTGCGACGCTCTCCGGAGCGGAGATAGTGCTGTCGGCAGCTGAAAGGACACGTGCCGGTTCCAGTAAAACTGCTCGGGCTCGGCCTAGTCGGCCCGGGGGCGGGCCGCGACAGACGCCGGAATTAGCCCCGTCCGCTGACAGATGACCCGCGGACGCCGGGCTGCTTTTGCCTGATTAAAAGTGCAGCGGACACTCCGGTCACTGCTGGTGTCCCTAACTGCATGCGCCGTCCCTGGTAACGCAGTGATGCAAAGGTGCCGTGGCCGACCGTCTTGCCTCGCTCCGCTGTGAGTCTTGCCGTCGGTCTGTCGATCCAGACAGGTGCAGTGAGCTCGAGGCAGCCCGGAAACCGACGCCGAGACGGCGCGTAAGATTAGCCCCATTTCCGCGAACAGATGTGGTGAATTGGTTCGCTGCCATGGACGTTTCAGTTGCTGAATGGATTCTGCCGAACAATCAGGCGCCTAACCTAGAGTGGAACGTGAGGCGCCTATGCCACCACGCAGCGGCGAAATCCATCGTCATGCTATAGGGCAGCCGGAACCCGCTCCAGAATTTAGCTGCAGTTGTGCAGAAACAAAGAGTTTGTGAAAGCTGTGTTGCATTTGTGTTGAAACTTAGATAGAAAGGCCAATGAATGAATTACTTGAAAATTCCAAGCACTTCCTTGCGCCTACTTTAAACTTCGTAGTTTTCAGTTTGAATGAAGCTGTTTTAGCCATTTTCACATCCGCCTCGATAACTTCTCAGCTTTCATACGCTACACATATAATCGTGAAGTTAAGAACTACACTTTTTGAACCTTTGTTTATCTAACTAATAAATACCTTACCAACTGCGTGTGTTCCTCTGACCGTTTATTTGTTCCGCTTCAGGGCTCTGGTCGCAACATCCCAGATTTCTGCGAGGTCGGTCTGAAGATCTCTGGTGTGTCTCCGCTGGAGGGAAGCCCGGCGCTGGAGCTGCCGAACGTGGGCGTCACCGGCCTGACCGTCACCACCACCTCGGCACACACGGTCGCCTTCCTGGGCACCAACAGCGGCAACCTCATCAAGGTGAGTCAATCATCCCACTCGCAACATCAACCTTCACCTCAGCAGTCAGCCGCCGAACTAATTACGGCCTCAGTAAACTGGCGACTAAATGTCGCGTTGAAAGGCTAGAATGCCGTTCTCGTTGGGCCGGTGTTTGTACCGGAGAGGCAGCATTTGCCCAGCACCCGCGAAAGCCGTCAGCCGTCGAGCTGTCAGCTCCAGAGGTGTCAGCCGGAGGCCGGTTCTCACAGTCGCCGTCACCGACAGTGGTAAGACTGACAGGCGCGGCGCGGTGCCGGTCGACGCTCCCACACAGGACCGGTACCAATATCGGCAGCGGCGTACAGCTAGTAATTACTGACTCCTGTCCTCGATGGCCGCCTCAGGGCAGAAATTCCGCGTCGCGCTTTGGTTCATTACAAGTCGGTCTGTGACGATCGCAGCAGTGGTCGAGTCAATCAATCGTGTGCGATACTAGGTATGTCATACGGACCCGACAAAGTCCACTCTGTTTACTGTTGACTCGCGCACGACCTGGATAAAAAACGTCGCCGTCCCGGTGGAGTACCGTGAGGCCATCATTGTCCGGACGTCGGCGACCTTTGTGTTGTGACCTGTCTTCCGTGCCGGCCGCAGTCGCGTTCGGTACCGTTGGCGGCGGTCCTGTGGTTAAACCCCATCCCAGTCCCGGTGCAATGTCACCAGATGGGCCGGCCGGTGACACGTGTGGTGACCCCGCGTGACCCCGCTGGTGACACGTGTGGTGACCGGCGTGACCCGGCGGCCGGTAAACGGTAACCCCGAGCTGCGTTCGTCGCAATATAAGGAGGTCGGGCGACGCACCGTAACTCAGAGCCAATCTCGAGTCCCCACTGTCGAACGTTAATTGCACAAGGACCGGACGGCATGATACCGGCTTCCAATTGGATTCCAACCAAGAATTATTGTCGTGTCAGATCTCCGATCGAGTTTCCTTTGTTCAAAACGCTATAAGTGCTGTGATTCCGGATGCTCTTAAGTTTTTGGGTCTGCAGAATTTAATCAGGAAATGACATTCAGGAAGCATATTGACCGAAAACCAGCTGTCGTAAAGCGGCCACAAAACGTTCACGAACTGTTCATCCATTTAACGAGCATCTCATCTTCGATTCTGCTCTGTTGGTGGCCGCTGTCGACTCGAAATTGAATGGATGTTGGGAGCAAAAACAAAATTACGTTTTTCTTTCGAGTTTCCGACGGCGAATGAGCTGTGGTTGAATAGAATAAATTGATCTGATCAGCCGTGAAAAGAACCGCGGCAATGTCGGTTTCTGTAAACACTGTTTACTACCACTGAAGAAGCTCGCCATCACCTCATTGACCTCGAATGAACGCCCTTTACCACGGTTGCAGTTGCAACAAAAAGGCAGTGATGCGCAGCGCTGGTTATCTGCTCTCGACCGCCGACCAGTTTTTACAGCCTCTGTTCCGGCCAATCATACCAATACTTGGAACCCGAGTGTAGCCGCCGCCGCCGCCGCCGGCAAATGCATCAAAACGACGGCACGGTCACCGAATCGCAATGAGTCTGATTCTGTCGCCGCGTCTGTACCAGAACTCGTCGGTCGTCGCCCCGCGCTCCTCGCTCTATCTCCGTCTCCTATCCTCTCTCCGACTACGGACGACTGTCGCTTCCCGGGAGACGCGCGCTGGGTCTGAGTGTCACAGGACGACCTGGAGAGGACGCAGATCAGATCAGAGCAGCGCACGGCGCCGTTAGACGGTGCGCGTGCCATTTGTCATTGCCACCTCCCATTGCGCTCGGCTTATTGACAGAGCGCACGGGCCGGCTTCGGCCTCGTCCTCCGGTACCGTTACCGGGCTAATGAATTCTGCTCGGTGGGTTTTCTGTCAGAGAGGCGCGTTTTGTCCGTCCGACTGACGAACGATGGCTGACGTCGCAGCGGCGGCGCAGTTCGGCCATCAGCCGCGGAGCTACGGATGGGGAGAGAGAGGCGGGGGAGGAGGGACGAGTGGGCTGCGCGGTGAACGAAAGGGAGATGAACAGAGGAAGAGAGGGAGAGAGAGAGAGAGGGAGAGAGAGAGGAGGGAGAGAGAGGGAGGGAGGGAGGACACCAGGTGAGCAGCCGTTGAGAGGTGCGGGCCAGCGGAACGGAACGGCGCGACGAGCCCTTTGAAGCTGGACAAACACGGCCCAGATGAGGCAGTGTTTGCTACATACGCTACTCCTGACGGGACGCGGGTGGCGGATGCGCGCCGCCACCGCGAGCACCGCTGCGACACGAGAGGCCGCGTCCGGGAACGGTAGGCATCCGTCATAATATGTATAGGCTAGCGGCCCACTGTCGGCCCCCGCGCGCCACACCGCTCACCACAGGAGCCGCGGAGTAGCGGTCGGTCCCTGCAGACCTCAGACGTGGCGTCACGTCCCAGCCGTGACGTCACGTCAGTCCTGTGACCGGTCGGTCGCGGCCCCACGTCATCCGGTGGATGCAGACCCGTCAGCCGTCGATCACATGCCCCTTATCGGAGTCCCGTGACGCTCCAGACTGACCCCGTGACCTTGTGTGTAACGTACCTCAGACTGCGCCGCGCCGGGTCACTGCGCCGGATGCGTCGTGGACGACGCGGCTGCGGCGGAAATGTCGCTCCGCACCACCGCGCTGTGTGCTCTGCGCAGGATTGGCGGAAACTAAGGCGACGTAACACAGGGCGCGTTTTTGCTGTCTGGCCCTGGCCGTATTCGATGTCTGTACCAACAGGAAAGGTGTCATTTGCGAGATAGAGCGCCGACAGATCGACAGTGACACTAATTCTGTCTGAAACTACCGAGATATCGTGAATGGAAGCATAGGAACAACAAATGGGGTCATTTATCGGAGTTATATATACAAAAATAAACTTAGTATTGTATAGAAGGTTCTTGGGCCCATCAGCATTTCTCTAATTTATTTTCACCTCTCCGCGTCTGCGTTTTTGTCTCCACTCAATGCACACACAATTAATCACTTTTGGGCTTCTCGCAGATGTTTCTTGCGTGTCTACTCTGCTTTCCAGCCGGTCTCTAAAAGTGAAAGCAGACCCCGGGTCCCATTGCCCCACCCGAGATCAGCCTTTTTCCCACGATTATTTCGTGCTGCTTGGGAGTTAGAGATACGAGCATCCGCCGACCGAAATAGCCTGAGACGAGATACCTGTACGACTGAGGCTGAGATCGAAACACCTGGCGCTTTCTTGGCGCTCTCCCAGAGTTAATTTGCTTCCTTTCTTGTGCGGCTCATCGCAATCGCTGTCAAACGGGAGCCGCGCGGCGTGTCCGCCGGTAGGTCTTCTGGTCCGGCAGACGGCAGGCGAGCGACGCTGACGGTGAAGCGCCCGCCCGCCGAGATTTTTAACGTCGCTCTATGGCTTGCGACAGGCCGGGAAGGGCTTCCGCACACTCTTAAAACGCTCGTAAGTCTGTGTCGTTCGCTAGGGTTACACGCAATTTTACAAGCCAGAATCGATAGCCGCTTGTGTGGGTCAGACGGAGATTCGCGCGATAGATTTTACCACCGTCGATACTCCCCAATTTAACAACGGTCCGTTTTCATTAATTCTGACCTTCGCTTCGTCCCAACTGCATCTCTCGCCGTTCCCGGTGCCCTTTTAACGTGGCCACACCAGCACAGCCAAGTGCCGATGACAGACATCCCAGTGGAGGCCGCGACCGCCTGTGCCGGGCGCCGCGCCGGCCGCGGCTGGCGGGCCTCTCGCCGGCACGCCGACCCCCGTTGTTTCAGATGGTAATATACGGCCGGGCGCCGGTTTAATTTGTCGTTATTCACCCGACCTCCCGGCCGCATCTGTCAAAGGTGGCGCCATTGATCAGAGCGCGCCGCACCTCCCGTTAATCGCCGCGGTGCGCCAGGACCGCCGCCGCGGCGCTCGGAGGCGCCCTGGGCGGCCGCGGCCAAATTAGCGCACCGCGCGCGCCACTAACGAGACGGATCACTGAGAGCGGCATGGGTGGCGCGGAGGGTGACCTGGGGGTGGAGAAGGTGGCGCGGAGGGTGACCTGGGGGTGGAGAAGGTGGCGCGGAGGGTGACCTGTGGGCGGAGAAGGTGGCGCGGAGGGTGACCTGGGGGTGGAGAAGGTGGCGCGGAGGGTGACCCGGGGGTGGAGAAGGTGGCGCGGAGGGTGACCCGGGGGAGGAGAAGGTGGCGCGGTGAAGGGCGGCCTGGGGGAAGAGAGGGACGTCCCGACTGATGACTGAGTGGTGGGGACGGACGTCCGGTGCCGTCGAGCGGCGCGGTAGGCGGAGGGCGGTGCCGACCGCCGGGTGAGGCGCTGCGCCAGACGAGGGCCTCGTCAGACGGGCCCCACCTGATTGGTGACGGCGGCTGCCGTCTTCGCGCTAACGATGATTTAATGGGCGCGCGTCCGGTCGACGGCGGGCATCATCAGCCAGACACGGACGCAATCAGGTAATGGCGCCCTCGAGCGGCCTCGAGCGGCCCGAGCGCGGCAGGACGCACCGCGAGCGGCACACTCGAGCCCGCGCCGAGGAGGCCCTCGAACGCACCGGCCCCGGTCTGGCCACCCCTGTTCTGACTACGGCCACTCCATCGAGCTGGACAGCCCACCTGCCTGGCCGTCCGACTCTACAACTGCACAAGGATTACGCGACGTGCGACAGAGCCCCGCCGGAACCGGGACCGGCCTGTTTCTTGGGCCACAGTCGTCCGGTCGACAGCAGACGACATTGGCGAATGACATCTCGACAGACGCGGACGACGGCGCGGCTGGCGGTCAGATAACAGACGAGGCAAAAACAACATAGTTATGCTGCGGCTGACAGGACGGGCCGCGGCACACGGCGGGGCTTCGTCAGTCCGCCTCTGGCTGCGACAAAGGCGCCACAGCGCAGCCTCGAAGTTCTGAGTGCTGACGAGCGTGCCCGTCCAAACACTTAATTGTTCAGATTCTCTCATCCTCCTGCATGCCAAATGCACTGTGGGTCGCCAGTCGGCCCACCAACTCGAAAATACCGCCCGGTTGACATTCAGCACGACGCTCCGGAGTGCTTTTATGATGATATTTTCGCCGTAATCAAGGCGGCCGCCGGCGCGACGGGCTCCAGCCGTTTGGTTTTGTTCACCATGGCCTGCAGTCTTCCTCTGAGGACCCGCGCTGGCCAGGAGCCGGGCGGGGAAGGGGGCGGGGGAGGGAGTGGCACGTGGCTCGTTCGTTACCGGCTGAGGTCGGTCGGGACAGGCGCGACAGACAGCTGGGTGTGCGGCCGCGCACGGCAGCGCGCCGACCCTCCGCGACGCTAATTAGACGCCGCTCGCCGGCAGAGAATACCCGGCGTGCTTGGGTCGCCGCCGCCGCCGTCGGCACGCCGCCTTATCTCTGCGGCAGCCGGGGGAGCGGCGGCGGTCGTCACGGAGAGACCGGCGTCAGGGGACAACAGGAACGGTCGGAGACGGCTGAGGTGACGCCGGCGGTCGGTGGAGGGGGTCCGCGGGGACTGCGTATCGGGGTCCGTCGGGATTGCATGCTATCGCAGCAGACTACCGAGAAGTCTGCCAGTCTCTGGAAAATTGGCGAGTCATCTGCACACTGACTTTGGGGAGTTGTGGATAACATATTCCTACTTTTGGCGTGTGTTGTTTGCCTTGTTAGAAGAGGCCGAACACGAGAAACCCGGCATTGCAGTGGAGCATGCATTGATAGCATGTAGATTGGAGTTGTTTGCTTATTTCTGCGGCAAATCAGGCCATTTTGCAGGCTTTGAGATTAAAGTCTTTTGAAGAGCGGCAACATGGGAAGACCGGCTTGTCTGCAGATAGCTTACGAGGAAGCAAAAAACTCGACCTGTCCTTGTGGGAACTCGTGTTTATGAAGCACAGATCAGAAGATTCTGCCCGCCGATATGGGCCAATAGAGGCAGATATCGTAAATGTCGTATTTTCTGCGTAGATTTCTCTGACACAATGTGTCTCGCATCTCGCTGCACGGCTATCACTTCGCCATCAACTCTGCGAAAAAAAAAACTACTCCGTTCGACAAGTGGACACGATCTGGCAATGGCCGCTCCGCGAGTCTCAGATCAGAGGGTCATAAACGTCAGTCTTGTGGCGCGGCCGTCCCTCTGCACGGCTCGGACCAGTCCCGTCCGCTGCAGCCGCCGCCCGGCGCCCGTCGCCGACCGGCGCAACTTTTCACGGGTCGCCGTCCCGATGACGCCGTCGTCGACCACTTACCGGACGTTGATTAAGCCCTTCTTCCTGGTGCGTTGAAAGAGCGCCGGTCGTGCTTTATGACACGCCGACCCCCGCCAGTATAAAATGGCCATCGGCATCGTAAACCGTGGCCATATCCATTAAATTACACATCAATTGAAATTACCCAATTTACGGCTGCTATGAAACCGGTCGGGCCGAGATGAAAAATGCCGGCCACTAGGCCCGTAAGAAGCTCGGCCGGGCGCAGATAGGCGGATAGTGGCGGCGCGGCGCCGGCTGAGGAGGTGATGGAAGGTGCACGGGGACCGGTTATAGCCGCGGGCCGGCGCCGCTGACAGCTCGTCGTCCGGGGGACGGAGCCAGGTATGACTGGCCACCCGACACAGGGCGCCCTCTCAGCCGCGCCGTGCACGCTGTCCACGCAACGGCGGACAGACATATGCACGTTACCGCGGCTCTCAAGTCTCAATAGGAATGGGGCGGAGAGTGTACGGCTGTCTCTCTTTCCGACAGATCAGGCCCAGAGGCGGCGCGCCATGGTGCAGAGAGTGCGTGGGCAGCTCCGTGACTTCTCGTCCAGTGCAGCACCTGCGCCGCGGATAGCCGGAGAAAGTGAGCACCAGCTGGAGGCCCGGTGAGCGGTGCATCTCGCCGCCGCCTCCCGCAGCCTGGAGCGGCATCATTAGCCTAACGCGGCGCGGGGTGCCGCGCGCGTGCGGCTCAGCGCGGCCGTACCGCCGCCGGCTGCGGCCGCTACATACGGCACGCGTGCTCTCCGCGGGCGGGGAGCCGCTCCGGCAGCTGGAGGGAGCTGAGATGGAGCGGCATGCCGCCCACCTGCCCGCCGTCCCTCGGGAGAGCCCGGCTGGTCGTGTCGCGCCAGACGGAAGTGCCGCTAAAAACGACCACCGGATAAACAAGGAGGGCGACACGGCCGGACAAACGGCTGGGGTGCGCTTGTCAGCGGCTCTCAGGGTCCCCAGAGGTCTGAGGTGGCGCCGCCAGGTTACTGCCGTCTGCGGTGAGAGGTGGCTCTCAGACGGCGCTCTTGAGGCTGAGAAGTTTCTCGAGCTGCGACCGAAATAGGGTCCATTCACGAGAAGTCGGCCAGTTCAACGAGGCCGCACACGACCGCAGCTGCCTGTATCCGGTGTAACACCTGACCCGATACATTCCTGCGTGCAACATGGCATGATTGGCGCTGCCGGTGGCGGGCAGGAACCGGGTGTGATTCGGGCGGGGCTGCGGTCGGCCGCGGCGCCGGGTCAGCCGAGGTCAGGCCGGCCGGCGCCCGGCCGCCCTCTGCCGGACCACTCTATAATTAGCAGCCGAGCGGCGGCCGGTGACGGCGCCTGTTGCAGCGGCCGGCCGGCGCCGCCTCACACTGCCGCGCCGGGAACCAGCCACAAATTACACACTCCTAATGATATTATGTAGATTAGTCGTTGACCGGCGGCGGCAGCGGCTCTCTAATGGAGCGCGCTGAGAACGGGGCGCCGCCGGCGGCCACCGCTGCCGCCGCGGTGCGGAACGGCCTCCGGCGACGGGCCGGGACCGCCACCGACTGCTCCCCTCCACCCCTCCTTCAGCCGACAACCCTTCGACGACGAAAGGAAGCTGACAATCACACTTAACTTTAACGGGTGCCGATTGCACACTCGTCGCGGCGCGCGGCGGGGGTCCGGCTCGTTGAAGCGCCGAGGAACGAGCGGGAGGGGCGAAACGCGCTGTTGTGGGATGCGGATGGCCGATGAAGGCCGATGGATGATACTGGGGTTCGGGAAGCGAGGGGCGTCTGCGCCCTGTAAAAGCAGCCGTTATGGGCCGAGGGTTTTCTCAGAAACCGGACTGTTGGTGCAGAGTAGTGATATGATGCTGGTTTGATTGACGTGACGACCCGGACGGATTCGATGGAATTTTCGTGGATGTTTGAAAGGCCGACAGACGAACTGACATACTCTTTTGACGGCTATGAAACTGTCGTGAGTGACATTCTGGCCAGGCTCAAAGAATGCGACAATCTATCGACTAATCCGTAGTGACGCAAATTCCTTCGTTCACAAAAACACATCGGCATCAGCTTTTTGCATAAAGCATGAAGCGAAACTGTAATGCGCGCACAAATCCTCTCAGGCTGATGTATTTCCTGTTCGAGATGCAGTTGTCGGTCGTGTTCCGTGCAGTTTCAGCTATGTGCTCAGTTTCAGTGACCGTCCTCCCGTGCACGTTGTGACCCAGGTCTTCTCTGTGTTCTCAGGCGCTGATCGTGTCACCCGAGGTGGCCCGTCGCTACGAGACGCTCTCCGTGGACCCGGGCAGCGCCATCGCCTCCGACCTCCAGGTCACCGCAGGAGGAGAGTTCGTCTACGTCCTCTCCACTCAGAAGGTGAGCCAAATGACCTCCACCGCGAGCACCTACATCGTGACAGAGACGGACCGACCGTCCAAGCGGGCAATGGCCCACACCGAGGGCATATCCGCCGGAAACATTGCAATGTCATGCCGCGAGCTGCCATGAAAACGCGATACAGCTCGTACTTCACCTCGTGCCTCCATTCACGATGATTTACAAGCGACCTTTGATGACTACTAAAGCTCGAGTACAGCTAACGAGCGTACCTACTCATGGCGCTAATATTTTTCCTTTGTGTTTTACTTAACCGGTTGGCACGAATGTAATGGCCTTGGCGTCGTGTTTTATCTACGGCCAGCGGCCACTTTGTGGGATCACTGTTCGTGTCTGACGTAAGGGGTGGTCCGGGACCGTCCGGGACCGCCTGGTCCCTGGTCGGACCGGCCCGGCCCGCTCTGGCAGGGAGGCCCGCCGGCCGCGGCCGCTCGGAGCGTGACCCCCACCATGACGCTGATGACCGGCGAGTAATTTATTGCAATGACGCGCCGCGCGTCGGCCGCCGAGCGCCATCGCCTCCCGCCGGCCAGACAGCGTTTCCACGCCCCCGGACCGCTTATCTTCGTCGCATCGGGACGGCTCTGACAGGTGGCTGCTTGCACTACCAGCGTCCTGCCGGGCTCCTGCCGGCTCCGTCAGCGCGATCGGCGCTCCGGCGGCCGTCCGATGACGGCTCGAATCACTCATCTGCTCTCCGAGCCGGGCCGGAACCACCCCGGCCAGATGGTGCACTGCGCTGTCAGTCAATATGTCGGCCGGCACAGCCGAGCGTTCCACTCCATTTCCGAGTGCTCCGCCTTCCGAGAGCTGAATGGAACCCGCACAATTCTCGGCTGACGTTCCCAGCTTGACTCGTTCACTTTTTGTTGCCGCGTTTAGACGTTTCAACGGAGACTACGCCCTGAAAAATGCAATGACTCTCCACATTTAACTCGTGTAACATAGCTGTTCCTAACCCACTCACCTCACACAGAAACATTTCCTGCATTTTGCACACCTCAGCCATCCTCTCCCCTTACATCCTCTCTCTCCTCTCCACTTTTATTCGCTCTTTCTGCACATTTCTCCTCTCCTCTCCTCTCTTTTCCTCTCCTCTCCTCTCCTCTCCTCTCCTCTCCTCTCCTCTCCTCTCCTCTCCTCTCCTCTCCTCTCCTGTCCTCTCCTCTCCTGTCCTCTCCTCTCCTCTCCTCTCCTGTCCTCTCCTCTCCTCTCCTCTCCTCTCCGTTCCTCTCCTCTCCTCTCCTCTTCTCTTCTCTCCTCTCCTCTCCTCTCCTCTCCTCTCCTCTCCTCTCCTCTCCTCTCCTGTCCTCTCCTCTCCTCTCCTCTCCTCTCCTCTCCTCCCTCTCCTCTCCCTCTCCTCTCCTCCCCTCTCCTGCTCTCCTCTCCTCTCCTCTCCTCTCCTCTCCTCTCCTCTCCTCTCCTCTCCTCTCCTCTCCTCTCCCGGCTCGCTGAACCGGTTACCTGGCTCTGCACGCTGCACGCCGGCTCCGGGTGGGCCGAGCCGTCATTTCGCCGCGCCCCGCCGGCTCCATTACAATTACGGCGCGCCACGACGGCCGCCGCGCCGCGCCACGACCGCCGCCTCTCGGCCGAGCGGCGCGGAGACGCTCCCCTGGGCGGGATGCAGGCCGGCCGGCCGGCCGAGCGCGGTGGCCCGCTCGCCGACTCTTCTCTCCGACAGCCAGCATGCACCGCTCCTCACTGCAAATAAAACAAATGGCGGCGTGGCGGATAATTTACGCCGACCCGACATGCCAGCCGGCCCCTCTCTCCAGCCCAGATAGAGGTAGAGGTAGAGGTAGAGGTGGAGGTGGTCGGCCGACGCTGAGCCGCAGCCAGACTGTATCAGCCGACACCGTCATACACACGGCGAACTGCGCTTTGTCCGCTGCCGCTCCATATTGATCTGGCTGCCATGACGCGGCTACTCTGCTATCCTCCTGTGCAATTGTTGGGCAACGGGCCGGCCATAGCCATTGCACTTAAGCCGCCTTGGCCTGAATCACATAGACTGGCTGAAAGGCTTTGCCACGCGTCAGTTGCGGCTGCGTTCCGCTTTGATTTGTCGGGGCGTGGCTGTGGCACGCGCAGGGCCGTGCTCCGCGGGTTGAGCCGGGTTTCGGCGAATCCACGGCTCTCTACCTGGCGGAAATCCAGTATACGGGCACGGCCGCTGACTTCACAGTCGGCTGTATGAGCTATGCAGTCAGTCCATTTCCCGTCAGCCGACCACAGAACAGCAGCGTTGTGTGGCGCCGCTCGGTGTAGTGCCGGTGTGTGGCTGACTCTGAGGCTCTGAGCGGCTGACCGCCGGAGGGTGAGCGTTGCCAGAGACCACTGGCGGTCCCAGGGGGGGGCCACGGGGGCCATGGCCCCCCCTTTGGTGCTGAAAGGTGGGGCCATACTATCTTTTGGCCCCACCTTTCAGATCGAACAAAAGTCCTAGAAAAGCTTTTTGTATGTTTCATTTTCTTTCTTGCGCCATCAAAGGACGTAAATTTCACTCATGAGTGGGCTCAGTTTCGTATTCTGTCAATTTGGCGGTCAGCGTCGCTGGCACCGGTTCACGAGTATGGCCGCATCTTACATGGAATATCAGCGTGGGTTTACTTGAGGCTCTCGTAGGCCCAGCAATGGCAGGCATGAGACCTCTTCGGCAGTGGCGGGTGGGCCCTGCCAAAGGAGCGTGGCTCTAAGACACTAAAGTAAGACCTCATGGGTTGGTGCTGTGCACCTCAGAAGCCCGGTGGTGACGCCGTATGCCGGCTTGGTTTCTTAAGGATTAGCGTGGGATCTTAGGGGCCTGCATAGAGTTTGGATTAGCTAGTATGTAATTTCAGAGGCCTGTATGTAATGTGTACACAGTCGCGGTCGCGGGGGGCATCAGGGCCATGCCCTCCCAAGGCACATAAAGGGGGCCATCATATCATTTGCCCCCCCCCCTCAAGCAACCGATGGGCCCCCATAGGTATATGGGACCCTGGCCCTGATTCGATCGTCACGAGGCTAAAAAAACACGCCCACACCGGTCTTTGAGCGTCCAACACTGACCTCTGAGGGAACTTCAGTGGCGGTCAAGCGCCCACGTTGACCGCTAAGAGCCCACATCGACCTCTGAGGCCCCACATCTGACCTATGAGGACCCCTTACCGGCCTCAGGGGCCCCAACCGGCGTCTGAGGGTCTCACACCGGTCTCTAGTGGCCTTATTGCTGTCTCTGGTGTCCCAAGACGAACATTTAGGTGCCAATGAGGGCCCCGCATTGGCTGCTGAAGACCCGATGCTGGCCTCTAAGGGCCTGCATTGGCCTCTGAGGAGGGCTCATCTTGGCCTTTGAGGGCCCTCTGCTGGCCTCTGGGTTCCAACGACGGCTCATTCCGGTCTTTTAGGGCCCCACGCTGACCTCTGAGGGCCCCATGTTGGCCTGTAATGAGTAGGACCCACATAAGCCTCCGAGAGCCCAACTCGGTCTCTGATGGTCTCAAACTACTGGCCTTTGCAGTTTGCAGGCCCTGTACTGGTCTCTGAGGGCCCTAAATTGGCCTCTAAGTGAAAACATACATGGGTGGGCTTCTGAAGATCACAGGGCTCACGCAGACTCCTGCACAGCCGTACGTTGGTCCTGATCGAGATTACTTTACGTCCTGATGGTCCCGCGCAGATTCCCTCATATTTCGACGTCGGGACCCCATGAGCCGGTGTGGGTCCTGGGGCTGGCAGAGACTGATGAAGTCCTTAGGACTCAGGGCCAGTCTTTTTAGCAGTAGGACTATAAGGCAGGTTGAGTGAGCCCCAATAGAGCCGTTGCGAGGCCCCGCGCGAGTCGTGCGGGGCCCTCAGATGCCAATTTTGAAAACCAGGAACCTGTGGGGCCGGGGGTCTCCAGAGGTCGGTGTACCTATTCTCTCCCGCCGCCAAACAACTATATGGGTAAATGTCATAGTCTGAAAATGATCTCTGGGTTTCACATGCTTGTTTAAACTGCAAGAGGTATCCGTACTTTTCCGAATTGTTTTATTGTGGTAAGGTCATGAATCCGCGTGCCCGACCTTCCAGTATATGCTACACCGATCCGTCGCCATGGTGCAGTGGCCCGACCGATGGAAACACCGTGGAACGGGACATGGAACTGGTGCTTTTGCCTTAAATTGAGCTTAAAGATTTCACGCAAGAATGAGGTGGATGAAGCATAAGTAATGCCAACTGCGCGGCGCCTCGTGGACGTAAAAAAATAGCCGATCACCCCCCCCCCCCCCCCCCGGTGACTGATAAATGTTATGTCCCGCGAGTGTGACTTTGGCCCCCCCTTTTGCGAGCGGCTGCGACCGCCAGTGCCAGAGACTCGTCAGTACGCCGCCCGCTGACACATCGCCAGCACAGTGAGCGACCACACAACTTCCGGCATCCCTCTCACTGCCAGGAATGCCGTGAACGAGCGTTAGAACGCCAGAGACAGACCTTGGCCACACCCACCGCCGTTCGCCAGCTCGGAGGTCACTACAAAACCAGATGCCGTCAGGGTGAATAGAATCAGACCCATACAGTCTGACACCGCTTCATGCCAGGTTTGGTCACTCCTCGTCAGACCACTTTGGTCGCGACCAGTGGCTGGCTCAGTTTGAATGGCTCCATGGCCTCTGCTCGCCGTGTATAGAGCTCGGACAGACCGAGGTCTCAGGGCGCCGGCGGAGGAGACTGCAGGGTGCACACGGCGGCGCGGGCCGAGCGCGTCACATTAGCAGGCCTCCGGCGGGCTGCCCTCCGCCGGCCGGTCACCTCTAAACCTGCTCACCATCATTTTCCTCGGTATAAATCAAACGCCACAAAGCCGGCTGGACGCGCCGGCGGTCGGCGGGGCCGTGCATCACAGCCGGTGCGGCGGCGCGCGGAGGGCTGAGAGTCCCGGCTGGCGGGCTGGAGAGTCCCGGGGAGTCCTGGCTGAAGGACAGAGAGTCCCGGCTGGTGCACGAAACGTCCCGACTGGCGAACGGAGCATCCCCAGCACGGCTGCGGCCGACAGATTCACTCAGCACCGGCGCACAGCCGCACCGCACTAAATCAGCCGGGCAGCGCCGCCGTCCGTCCGTCTGAGCTGCTGGCACGCCGCAGATGCGGACAGAGGTGCAGTTGAGGTGCGGCCAAAGACGCCCCCGGAGACGCAGCTCGGCTGAGAGACACGGTGACGCTGCAGCCGCGGCGTCACTCGGCAGCTCGATTTGGTCGGATGGCTTCTCTTTCCGCCTCTGCAGTTAGTGCACGGACGGTGGTCCTGCTCAGCTGCCGACGGCGGGGATAGAACCCCGTCCTTCCCCTCCCCCCCCCCCCACCGCCGCCGCCCATCCCCGGGGCGACGGCGGCCTGTCTCGATATCGCTCACCGCCGCCGCATAGTAATCGAGCCGGGCGGCGCACGCGCCGATCGCGCCCGTTTAATCGGCGCGCCGCTCCCCGCCCTGACTGCGCCGCGATCGGCGCCGATACGGTGATGGCTCACCGGCACCCAAAGTGGCGCAGTCATCGGGCGCGCGTCGCCGCCGGGCGCGGACGGCCAGAGGAGGAGTCGGCCTGAAAGCACGGTGACGGGGCACTGTCGGATGATCCGGGCGGCTGCCCCTGACCGGTGCTGACCGCTCCGGGTCGCCCCGAGCCGCCCTCGGTAGCAGCTCTGTTCCCCCAGTCTCCTGTTCTCCATTCTGCAGCTCTCCGACAGCCCGGTCCGCAGTTCGGCGCCGGCGCCGGCGCCGGCTGGCTGTGATAGCCTCCCCACCGGCGGGGTTGGGCCGTGTTTCCACTTGGACGGGAACTCGCCGTCTCCGGACCGTGGTCGGCGAGGCCGGAATGTGACGCCCCAGCTGCACGAGGGAATGCCCGCAGTTCTGCAGCGAGGCGAGGCTCCGCAGGCGGGCGCGGCGCCGTGCGGCCGGCCGGCCGGGTTTATGATTGGGCTATGGGCCGGGTCAATTCGCGGGGTCCGTGAGATAGGGTCCATTGGCGGCGTCATGAGCCGGAGTCAATTTGCGCGGAGGTGCAGACCAGGATGGGCTTGTAAACTAATTTGCTGCAGTCTCTGACACCGACCAACAGACTGTTCCGGGGTATTAGGGCCGTAAAGATACTGTTACGGCGAGAGGCCATGTCACTCGGGCAGGCTCACGACCCCGCGGACGGCGCGCCGGCCCGGGTGAATGCGGTCAGATTTCTCCCATCCGTCAGTGGGCAGCTCCAGTTTAGTTTGTATTCGGCCTCTGCGGCTTGGTGTACGGTCTGTTGTGTATTCCATGTCAGTGTACGCTGGAACTTCATTCCCGTAGTCCAATACCGAACTGTCCCACCTCATTCCGTTTGTCTGGCCCTGTGGCGCATCTGCTCATACTTTCACCGATATGTTCTGTAAGGCTCCATTCCATTCCGACATACCTCATCATGCACACTGTCCCTGTTTTATCCTGCTTCGTAACTGCCTGTTCCTTTACGTCTCATCCTGTCCTGCCCCGTCGACCCCACATCCTGTCCCTTCCATCCCATCTCTCCCGTCCCGTCTCTCCGGCCTTCCGCCGGCGGCGGTCGCGCGTCCTTCGACAGCCGTCCGGTGACGCTGCAGTTGCTCACATGATAAATTCAGACGGCGCTCACAATGCGCCCTTTATGCGGCCGGTCAGGCTGCACGCGGATCAAATGGGCTCGCTCCCATAGCCGGCACCCAGCCGTAATTGGCGGCCGCCGGTCGAGAACACGGTCCGCAAACAAACCGAGCGCGGGCGAGCGTCGGTCAAAGACGCCGCGCGCCGCCGCCCATTGATCAGACTCCGGGACGCACCGGGCCGCCGGCTCACCTGGGCTCCTCCGAACACACGGCATTCACAGGATTGGCGAGAAATCAGCTGCTCACGGGATACAGGCCGATTTCCGCCGCCTTTGTGAGGCGCGCGCGCGTGCTGCGAAAATGCTTAAATCGGATTCGTCTGGGGCGTTTCAGGACACAAAGGTAGATAGGGGCCGTCCATAAGTTTCATGCGTCCCATTCTCCGCGGCCAGTCGGGACTTATTTATCGCCCATTGGGGCCTTGTTGCGTTCCTTTAGTGTTTTCTCACCGGCGGCATTCCTGGGCCTCTACCTGCGGCGCGGGCCGCGTTTAGGTATAAATTAGTCCGGCTGAACGTGTAACTAAGAGGTCCATTACCTGGGCTGCACGTTGGGTAGGGGTGTAGTTTAGGAGCTCAAGCCAGGTGGGCCGGTGGCCGGTGGGCGCACCCCCGCCGCGCGGGCAGGGCCGCCGGCTGGTTGGCCGACACCCCCGGCGAGCCGTCCGGCCCTCCCTCCCCGGCTGTCCCAGGTGGTGGTCGGCCGGCCCTCCGGCCCCGGCTCACCGCAGCGCCGAAATTAATTAGCTCGGCTCGAAATTCCACGGCAGGGTATATCGGACTTACCTTGAGCCGTCTGCGATGATGGTTTCCGTCCGGTGATACGCGGTGGTGGGCACATCCTCTGCACGCCGTGCCGTCTCCGCAGGATACGTGGGGGAGGCGGGGCGGTCAGCGGCTGCCGGAGAGCCGTCACCCTCCCCACTCCCAGCTCCACACCCGACCGATTCTCCATCACGAGCTCCGGTCCGCCGGGACGACTCCCACGGTAGTGAAGGACCCGGCGTATCATCAACCCACCCACCCTCATCCACCGCACCTCACACCGCCGGACCGGGCCAAGCCTGGCCGAGCCCGACCGGAGCGACCGCGCCGGCTCTCCGAGCGGGGGCAATTAGTCGAGTTGGATTGATTCTCGGTGATTGGCCCGGTCGGGTCGGTAGCGGTCGCTCGTCGGCTACTGATACAGCAGGTGGCCCCCCGAGGGAGCGGTCAGGATGAGCCGTGACCGTGACCGGCAGGGGTCAGAGGTCAGGACGGAGGACGGAGACGCTAGGGAACGCGTCGGTTCCTACATAGAGGCCAGGAGGAAGGATCACGGTGCCAAATATCCAGGTGCCAAGGTTGATACGGGCAAGCGATATTGCCAACAGCATGTGGGCAGGGATAAGATGCTGTTGGTGGGCGATTCGAGGCTCATCAACGACTTTTATAGCATTTCGTGAGCTTGGAATCACCTCTAAAAGCTCCACCGCTGAGCTAAGGGAGGGTATTTAGGAGCGATCCCCGCGCCCGGTGACCGGGGAGGGCCGCTGGCAGGGGGCAGGGCTCCCTCTCGGTCGGCCTCCCGTAAATAGGAGCAGCGCGGAGCCGTTTTTACGTGGCTGGCCGGTCGGTCGCCGCCGCCGGCTGAAAAGGATCGCCGGACGGCCACGACGGGGCGCCTCAAAAACAGCTCGCCGGCCCCTTTGTGGGGCAGCGAGTCGAACTGGGCCGCTCGCCGAGGCGCGCTGCTCGGTCTGTCGGCTCGGCGCGCGCGCGCCCGATGCGCCCCGACAGGACTGGGTCGCGACGCGACGCGGCCAGAATCGCTGACGACGCGCCGCTGACATCGCCGAGACACGCTTCAAAGAGCGCCGGTGGACCGTCGACAGAAAAACCAACTGCCCGCTGGATGCGCTCGCTGCCGGCCAAAAACCGGGGCGCGTCGCTGCACGTCGGCAACGGAGCGGCTCGTTTTTACGGCACCACGTCCGGCCTTGATGATTTTTCACATTGGTTAAGCGGCTGGGCCGGGCCGGTGTTGTTTTTGCAGCGTTTCCCATGCCGGCCGTGACGACAGGGTCTGGGAAGCACCGGTAGGCGGCGACCACAGCGCTTCCTCCGCGCCGCCGTCCGCCCTCCGCCAGCAGCCGCAGCTGACGCCGACGCCGACTAAATAATGGGCAGCTAATTTGTTTATGAATCGGTAATTACTTCGTGTCGTGTTTTCACTCTCGGCGCCCGGAGAAAGTGCGTGCTCGCCGCCGGACCCTGAAAGCTAATTTGTAGCGGAAAAATCAGGCTATCGACGGGGGCCGGTCGGTGGGTTGACCCGCGCCGCGGGGGCCCGGTCGAGGCGCGGCGACGCCCGGGCTGCCGGCGCGGCTGACCCTGTTTCTCAGCGCCATGTGACGGAGTCTCCGTGCTGTTACCGAGGTGTGTCTAATGGAAGTCCGGCCTCAATGGAGCACCACAGAGCGATGGAGCGGCCCGCCACAGAAAGTGAATGCCATGTCGGCCGATTAATTTGTCAGCGGTGACCCGTGGCGCAATGCGGCCGGTCACGGAGGTCACGCAGGTCACACAGGTCAGACACGTGCCGACCGGAGCTGGCCGGCCGCCGTCCTGGTCCCAGCCTGGCCACCTGTAACCCTGGCCACCCGCTGTACCGGCGCCGTCACCCCTGACCTGACCTGACCTGACCCGAGCGCACCTCGTTAGTCCATCTACCCCTCCGTCGCTTTCGGCCCGCCCCTCACCGTTTTATCTGTCTGTTTTTCAGGTGTCTAAGGTGCGCGTGCAGACGTGTGAGAAGTACACCAACTGCTCGTCGTGCCTGGGCTCCGGAGACCCCTACTGCGGCTGGTGCTCGCTCGAGAAAAGGTGAGTTGGCGGCCGGCTGCAGCTCTCAAGGCTGCAGGAGAACAGAGCGCTGCGCATGGCGTGTCAAAGGGAGATTTGTCCGAGAGGCCTCTCCGGCCTCGGAGGCCGCTCACAGAGCCGCCGCGCGGGACTCGAGGCGTCGCGGCTGGCACCCGGCAGTGCTAGCAGTCCCAGCACAGGTCACATTAAAGGTGGATGTGTGTGTGTGTGTGTGTGTGTGTGTGTGTGTGTGTGTGTGTGTGTGTGTGTGTGTGTGTGTGTGTGTGTGTGTGTGTGTGTGTGTGTGTGTGTGTGAGAAAGATCCCTCGACAAGGAAACGCTAATATTGAGGGAAGTCCCTCGACGTGCAAATGGCCAAACGGAAACGGAAGGCGAGAACCCAAGATTGCGGACGGATGTAGCGCTCACGGACGTGGCGTTTTACACTGAGGTTATTGGCACATTGCTAATACGGGGCTTCCAAATGACTCAGCTCTTACAGCTTCTTTGTTTCACCTGCCTGGATCGCTGAGCAGCCATCAATAAATCATTGAGTTTTTATACATGCTTTTGCATGGCAAGTATGACGAATTGGACTGGCTCGGATTCTACATATATTTCGCACGAATGTGCTGTCTAGTGTCTGATTCATGAAAGTAGCAGAACTAATTCGAAATTTTCTCAATGCTGGCCCTTTTCAGATGAGACACACAATTAATTCATTATGTCGAATTATGCTTAAAATAAGTGAACAAAGTGTGGCTTGCTTTACCTATAGCACCGCGTCTAACAAGTATTATATAAAATCCAAATTCCAAATTATATAAAATCCAAATCCATCCTCGCCCACATAAAAATCCAAATTATATTCGAAACATGCCCACGTCAGTGATGAGCGACTTCTCGCCATGCTCAGCAGACGGTCAGTCCGCAGTAACACTTTCTCATCGGTGAGACTCAGAGTGGGTCGCTGCCGGCAGTCTGTCCCGCTGGGGAAGGAGAGAGATGGGATCGAACCGCCCGTCCGGCAGCAGACCGTCCATTTGACGCCTCAGATAAATGGACAGCGGTGAAAAATGGCGCACTCGCTTGTTGTTGAAGCGCACAGAGTTGATGGTGCCGATGCCGGATCGTCGCTCATCCCTTCCGACGGATCGGCCAGATTGAAACAGCGTCGGCCGCGCGACGGGAATAGATGGGGCGCCGACCGGCCGCCGATAACCGCTCCGGTGGCCGGCCGGAATTCAATTAGCACCGCCGCCCGCCCAATGGCGCGGAATGAAACCGGCATCAGTGTCAAGTGATGATTTCATCTGGCGCTCGGCCGTCCGATGGCTGGGCGCGGGGAGGGGATATTCGGAGGGAGGGGTTATCACGATGGTGGGGCTGGTAGGGTGCAGGGTGGGATTGATGGGTCGGCAGGCGTCTGGTGTCGGAGGCCTGCAGCAGATCTTCAGCACCTGCTCAGAATCATATTAGCTTCCACACTGTTCCCTGAAATACTGCCAACTAAATTGATTCACGTCCTCGCTGCTAAGCCCCGGAGCTAAAATTCGTTCCGACACTTTCTCGCCGTTAACGTCGGGCGCGATTAGAGCCAGCCAAGTGTCGGCGGAATATTACTAATTCCAATTCCCACTAACCAGCATAATGGCTGGTAAGTGAACAAATAATTTTCACATGGCTCTGACGGCGACCATAAGCGGTGTTGGTGAGCCGGCGGTCACGCCTGGCTCTGAGGTGCACCATGCCGGCCGTCTGATTGGTCGCAGTTGACACCTCTCTGGATCTGAACACCTCGGGAACCGGACCGTGCGCCGGCTGCGCGTCTCAACTCCACACTATCTCGGCCGATGACAGCGGGCGATGGCCGCCTGGTTTGTCCCACGACCGGATCAGAGAGACCCCGATCCCCGACACCACAGCCATCACCCGTAATAGCCGCAGTTTCAACAATTTCGCCGCGGGCGTCCCGTCGCCGCGACGACGCAGTGGCAGCGGTGGCGACGTCCGTTTCCGCACCACCGCCGGAAGAGAGTCGGCGGACTTTCGCTGATGTCGCCATCGGCGCGGCGGCCGTCGCGGTCGGTGAACAATCGAGCTCCAATCGGAGCACAATCGGCGCACAATCGGTCGGCACTGGGCGATGATTAGATGCCTGTTAGAGCGGCGGCGGCCGACGGCAGGCCGGGCCGGGCGCGTCTGGCGGCGCCGACCGAGCGGGCCATTTATGGCGCAGCACGAGCGTCGTGTGCGCCGGCGGCGGTGCCGGCGGGCCTCTCGTGGCGGGCGCTGGCTCCTTGCCGCCGCCGCCGCCGCCGGCAGGCAGATGCGGCAGATGTCGGATGGAACAAAGCGGCCGCCGAGCGGCGTTTCAATGAACGCGGAGAATGGGGCGTGCTGCACTATTATTAGATTAGTGCTAACCACCTGTGGCGGGGGAGCGGTCAGTCTCTGGCCGGTGTCGGCTGTTGCAGTCCCCTCTCACCTGGCGGGAGGGTTCCTCGCCGGCCGGCTGCTCGCTGGGCTCATTACCGTCTGCCATGACTGCCGGGTGGCTGACACCCCTCCGCCGGAGGCCAGGAGCAGCAGCACGAGCACAAAGCGGCACGTCTGGTCCGTGTAACCGACCTGCAGCCGTCGCCATAGCCGCAGCCTTCACCGGGCGCGCTTTGTTCCCCGTGCAGACGGACAGCCGAGAAATTCATTTGCCCGGTGCGGTTCAGACGCGGACTGTTTTTTGCGGTGCGTCTGTTCGATGCTCCGGCAGTGCGACTATCAGCCGTCGGTGCCACACCCCCATCAGACGCCGTCGTTTCGACATCTCCGTCCGTCGTGACCCGCCGGTCAGCTCGTGCAGGGCGGCTCCAGGTCAAACGCGTGTACCGCGGAGAGCACGAGCCGCTCATGAGGGCGTTCATTGGGGCCACCCCACTGCCCGCTCTGCCTCCGGTCATGATGTGGCAATTGATTGGAGCAACACTGATTATTGCAGCAGCACCGCCAACAACACCCAACGACAAGGGGTGTAAACAGCCGACCACCATCCTAGTTAGTCGATGTTCCAGGAGAAATTGACGACCGACTGGAATGGACTAGACGCACTCGAATGGCTCGAATGAGCCACTCGATGACCGGTGGTTCGGTGGGCGGTGTCGGTGGTCACAACACCCGGCCTTCCTTCGGCCTTCTCTGAGAAAGTGACGGGACAAGAACAGACCGCCGCCCGCAGCCAGTCACTGCCGAGTGAAGGGTGGGGATGACTGAGACTTTCTCGTCTCTCCGGTTCACTGAGCAGCGGGTAACTCTGACCAACTCTGCTCCCCTCGGAGGGACCGGGACACCCTCTCCATCTCTGGCTATATCGCGGCGTCGGGAACGTTGCAAATGACGCTCTGCGCACCGCCCCTCTCCGCCCTAAACCAGCAGCTCAAATTACCGACCAACTTAGCGGATTATTCGCCGCGCTCTGAAATGCAAATGACATTAATTGTAAACAAATTTCATCCCGGTTCTGCGCCTAAGTGTCGCGCAATCTGAATTTATGTGCGGAGGGATTCGTTTTATTACGTCCATTTGCAAGAAGCGGACGGCGGCGGCGGAGCAAAGTGGCGACAGGCCAGCGGGGAGCCGTGGCCGCCTAATTCGATCAGCTCTGGGAGCGATGCTACAAAAAAGTGTCTCGCCGACCGCGATACCGCCGGTGGTCGAGGCTGCTACAGGCCTGTGGTCGGCGATAATCGGGTTAGCCAGCGTCGGCGGAGATGGGCGACCTAGCCAGGACGGGGGCGGGGCGGGGGCGGCCGCTCCTTCGGCAGGGGTGCACCGGGCTCCGCTGGCGCGTACTGCGGATCGCACCCCGCCCCATTTGCATAACGTCATTACTTTTCAACACAGTGCGGCACATAATCAATAGTAAGACTCGCTGCGAGCCAACGCAGTGGAAAGCGCGGCGCAAATGTGGCGGAAGGAAGGCGAGTGTAACGACGGACCAGTGAGGTGGAGCGGTGGAAGGCGGACACCGAGCACGCCTTCAGAGGGCTGGAGCTGTGGCAGCTCTGAAGAGCAGCTCTGCATGTAGGGGCAACACAGGAGCTGCTGGGATAAACCCGACTCTACGGAGGCACAAGGAGTAAATGATTCTTAGGAGGAACTCAGATCTGGGGAGGAATGAATAGCTGTAGGATCTTGGCTCTGAGAGAACCTCGAGTTTTGAGAGGACCTGGGGCACTGAGAGGACCGAGTGTCTCCGAGGGGGACCTCCTCTCTCCCAGCAGGACCGCCGAGTTCTCTGAAGACGGCGCCGCTCGAGGACCGCGCGGCGGCGAAATTTCCTCCATAAATCGCCGCCGGCACCGGCGGTGTGACACGGGCGGCCGGTGGCCGGGCCGGGCCGCGGCTTAGCCGACCGACGCTCTGTTTGAGTTAGGGATCGGAGAAGGCACGGCGTGGGCCGACGGTGGTCGATCGGGCCCGGCCGACCGCTCTCTGCGGCTCGGGGACACAGGGTCGGGTGGCTCGGGCGGGCGGATGCAGGTGCGTCGGAGACAAGTCAAACTGCTGCCTCACGTATTGTGCGCGCACTGCAGACTGAGTTGATCGATGCCCATCGCTTTAACGATTTGACCTTTTTACGTATAGAATCAAAGTTGCTATGACATTCGTTCCAGTTTTTTTTTTTACCTCACACCTATGATTTTATAGCAATTTGCTTGCTTTTTTCATAAACGACAACCACAGCCCACAAATAGTAGCTACTTACCTAAAAATGGAGCCCTCTTGAGCTTAGTCGTTCGCGGCTCGTCTACCGAGGATATTGCCGTTTTTAGTGGCTGTTATCGATAAAAACACCCTGAATGGCCAAACATTTCCCCTCACACCCCATAGCGTGTTTCCAATTCGGTCTGAAGTTTGTGTGGGGCTAATGGCGCCTTAGCTGTGCCGCTAACAGGCCGATCCAAGTTCGGAGCCCGCTAGCAGTGTGAACGGTCGGGGCGGGGCGGGGCAGACTGTCGGTCGGTCGGCGCGGTCCCCCGGTCGGCTCTCGTTATTGGTCAATGGTCAATGAAGCCAACCTAATCTAAACGTATCGTGCTCTACCGTTGTTATTAGTACCGCCGGTCATACGATACGTTGGCAATTGGGTTCGGAATAATGAAACGGCATTACCAGCAATAGCCCTAAGTAATCACATCGTTTTTATGTACGGCTTTCATTGAGTGCACACTACTCTATATGGCTCACGACATTCGCTATCAGATTAGGGAATTGGTCCAGCGCTGCTGTGTACCTGCATTCTAGGACCCGAGATAGCATGCAATGGGAAATACGACTCCGATTGGGCGTCCACTTTTTGCTCAGCAAAAAACCTGTCATCTATCTTCCCATTCACGATGTCCTGACCACCGTCGGCTCCCTGGACCTCCTCACTGTCTGTATTAATGGAGATATTGACGGCGTGGCTGGCTATGTAGTCTATCTACCTATATCTTCCATACACAGTCTGTTCGAGATCTGGTCTTTTTGTCGATATGTAAAGGTTTCGGTGCAGTCTGTCTGTATATGCGGACCGTCTGCGTATATGTCTGTCTGTCTGTATACGTATTGGCGCTGTCTGTATGTAACTAAATGCAGACCGCCTCTGTACGTCCGTCTGTCTGTCTGTGTGTGTGTGTCTGTGCACCGTCGTGCAGCCCTCCACCAGCAAGTAGCCCGCCCGCCAGTGCCCATCCATCAGACCGCCGGCCCACGATGTGTCCCCGACACAGCCATTGTCGCCGACGCAATGCATTCGGGGCCGCCGTGCAAACCGTTTATGATTCATATCGCATGTGACGCACGGCTCGACGACCTGCCACTGACTGTGCCGTGCCGTGCAAGGCCGTGCCGTGCCGTGCCGTGCCGTGGTCTGCTGTGCCGTGCTGTGCCGTGGTGTGGTGTGCCTCGTCTTCTATTGCTCCGTGACCTTAAGCACTGCGATGTGTTGTGTCGATTGACGGCTAGGGCTCTTCGTTACGCCATTCTATTGTTACGTTTGGCACCATGTTGTCACCTATCAATGCGGGCTCATCAAGGGAATCTAATCGCAGTCTGATTAGCTGAGTGTTTGATGACCTCACTGTCTATCGTGTGATGACCGGAGACCGGCGACCGGTGACCACACGACTCGCCGTTTACCTCGGTGACTGAGTCAGGTCGGTGGGCGGCAGGGACAAGGCACTGACGGAGCAGAGGCGAACGGTGACTGACGCGTCGCTCGAGCGTGACGAACGCATGCGTGACGGTGACGGACGACGTCACAGCTCGTTGCGGTCACTGGACAAACATGAACACCGCTCAGCTGTGGTCGTGGCCCCCTCCGACCGATGAGTAACGCCCCACCAGTATTGATATTTCGTCCCTACCGGCCGGTTTGCGGCAGCTCACGCGGCGGCTGATTCAGCTGTTTATGACCACTCGTGTCGGTCTCGGTGCAGTGTGTGACCTGCAATATAGGGACGAGCGGTGCTCGGACGACCTTGCAGCCGCCTCTAGTCCGTGCGTGACCTGTGCGTCGTAACGGCTCGCCGCCCGCCCTGAGACGGTCCTCGGGCGAGCGACGCGTGCCGACCGTGCGTCGGATTAGGGCTAATGCCGCCCCGGCCTTGCATTGTGATGCGTTATGGGTCTCGGCGGCGCCGGCTCATTGCCTCAGTGTGCAGCGGAGACGACTCGGCGCATCGTGATTTGTGCGCGCGCCCGCTCTCCCGCTGTTGAATGTGGTCGGAGTGAATGGCTGTTTTTCAACTGCAAGCTTTTGACTCAGCATTTAGAGTTGTGCAGTCCGACCTTGCTGCAATGCGTCAGTTTTCAGCTTTTCTCAGAGTAATTCTGATAAACACAGTCTACAGAACAAAGCGGGACGCTCGCACGTCACATTTTCTGGACAAACACTGCTGTGTTTAGCCATTTCTGCTACGTTCCGAGGTTTTTGCTACACTCGCACGCTGTCAGCTGCTCTTCGGTCCGGTCCAGACGCACAAAACCCGTCCAGCGTCCTCATCGGTCGCCGGGTGACGGCTGTGAGACCTGTCAGCTCCACCTTTATCCCGTCTGTCGCCGGACGTCCTGCGATGTTCCGACGTGTCCGCTGTCGGCTCAGCTCGATCTCTGTCATGTCACCCGTCCTCTGCGGTCGCGCCGACCTCCGCTCTCGCCCTCAGCTCTCGCAGTCTCGCCCCGTGACACGACGCACCACCCAGGCACCATCGGAACCCGCGCGAGTTTCCTCCGCCGCTTGACATGTTACAACCGAGCACCACCCCTTCCCCTGTGTCCGGCCGAAGACTGACCTCGCCCCTCTCTCTCCGCAGATGTACGATCCGCTCGGAGTGTCAGAAGGCACAGCAGAGCTCGCCTCGATGGCTGACGTTCGGAGCCGGCCAGCAGTGTATCGACTTCGAGCAGGTGCTGCCGGACAGGATCCCCGTCGATCAGACCGTCACGGTGAGTTTAGGGGACAGGGGCTGATCCGACACGGGACGAGGGACCGTCACGGGGTGGGCGATTCGTCACGGGGTGGGCGATCCGTCACGGTACGCGGTTACGTGCTGTGTGGCGGTGCCATTGATCGTCTGAAGTTCAATGGGGTGGGAGTTGGTAGCTGTGGGAACTCGACAACTGTGTTGACTGTCTGACAACTGTGACAACCGAGTTGTGAATGACAGAAAGGGAGAGGGAACGCAGTGAAGAGGAAGGAACAGGTGGTGTTGCCGGTCACCTTAGCTAATACCTCGAGCGGTCAGCGGGAAAAGGGTTCGCTACGCGTGAAGGGGAGTACGGATTGGGGACTGGACGCTCGGCTGCACGCCGCACCCGCAGGCTCGGGCGGCCGCGCTGGTCACTGCTCGTGGGCGGAGTTGCTCGATGGATGGATGGACCGAGGTGTCGGCGGCGAGGGCGTCAGGTGTCGGGCGCAGCCGGCGCCCCCGGCTGGTGCTGACAGCCCGCCGCTCCACCGCCGGCGGACGCTCTTCAAGTCGGCCAACTCGGTCAATCGGAGCTCGAACTCTCCACCCACGGTGGAGGTTTTGGATAAATGTCTTCGGCGAAATGTTCACAATCTATATCTGCCCTGATGTTCATCATGTAAAGGGTACTGGCTGACCAACGACCGTCTAACCGTCTAGGCTCCAGTTGCTATGTAAATGTGACTCGTCCCAACTCTTTACTTAGAGACTGTCAGTCCCATGGACACTGACCTTATCCCCAGTCTGCAGCTGGGCGGTAGGGCGACTCAGGAGCAATCCTCCAGTCACGTAAGCCCCAGCGACAGCTGAGCTATCAAGCAATTCCAACTTTCCCCGAGTCTTTTAAAACTTATCGCTGCCCCTCCAGGCAGGCGTGTCTCGATTTCATTCCCGGAAAGGAGTCCACAGTTCGCCCGTCTTGCTGTCGGTATAGGGCCTTTAATGACCTTCATCTAGTACTTTATTTTGGGCATTTATCTGATCAATGACCCTCCAGTGCGAGCGTTAAAGCGTCTGGCCAATCCAGTTCAATACCTAGAGCCCGTGAATCTCTCTCTCTCTCTCTCTCTCTCTCTCTCTCTCTCTCTCTCTCTCTCTCTCTCTCTCTCTCTCTCTCTCTCTCTCTCTCTCGCAGTCAGCGAACTCCCTAACTTTGCCGATTCGCCGGCCACCAGCCACCACCCGCCGGTGGTTTGACCGACCCCACCTCACCCTTCCGCCCACCCGTCGCCGACGTCCGGAAGCCGACGGCGCGGCGTGGCCGATGCGCCGGATATTGCGCCCGCGCCACTATAGTCTGCAGCGACGACAAGCGGCGCGGCCACACACATCCATTATACATGAGCGGAGGGGCGGCGCCGCGTGACGGAGGTGCCGCCTGCCACCAAGTGCCGGCCGCTGCCGCCGCTTACACCCGTCCCTCCATCGGAACTATCGGCACCTGGCAGATCGCCGCCCCTCGTCTGACGCTGAGAGCAGCTGATCGTGTCGTCAACGGCCGGCGGTCTCCTGGAGAAGCGTCCGAAGTGGAGATCACGAAACTCGCGAGGAAACTGCCAGAATTGTGTGCGTTCGCGTTGCAAACCCCGTCGAACGGTCCAAGAGACGAAAGATCCGTTTGTTACCGAGAGCTTGTCGAGTCCTGGAATTCATACAAATCACAAGAGTCGCTGACATTTGACGGAATTCAAAATCTCCGGATATTCAGTGTCGAGGACATTAGACAACCAGAGATTCCTAAGATCCTCCAGTAAAGGTCCTAAGGTCCGAATAAGGTCTTAGGTCTTATAAGCCTTCCCGGATGGACCACCAGCATGTGTGACTGTGAGCTTGGTTGCCAAGTGGCTCAGTGCTCCCATGTCCATTGTCCAGTATCTCATTACGTCCGGTTGAACAGCAGACTGAGCATCCGGTATGTCACAAGGGATATCGGTATGGTGACTCGATGACGAACGTCACCAATACATGCAGCCGAAACACACTATCGGTGCTCTGTACCGGTCAGGGACTGACCTGTCCTTTCCTGGCCTGCTGGCCTGGCCTGTCCTGTTCTGCCCTGTCCTGTCCTGTCCTGTCCTGCCCTGCCCTGATGACCTGTCCTGACCTGTTCTTTCCTGCCTTAGACCGTTAAGACGAGCGAAGTTACTGACTGTTAAGAACGATACCAGATGGATGAAGATCAATGGTGCAGTTGTTTGATATTGACTGACAGCCTTTCCTCGTCGCTGGATCCTTTGAATCGCTGACCGCTGTGAACTGAACTTGTGTGTTGAATCGTTGAATTGACTGACAGACGCTCATGGAATGTCCGTTGTCATTCGTCAGAACCGTGAATTCCAGTTCAGAGGCGCCATCCGGTCGGAAACATTTCACGTCCTGTTCCGACTCTGCACGGGTCACCGAGCTTCTGGAAGTGAAGTACGATTTTCCTCGAAACGACACATGGCACTGACAGCTATTTTTATGCCATCACTCAGCTCGGAACAATGCAGTCGGCACTGGGTCTCCAGAACAGCGCCCTAAATCCACTTTCGCTCTTACGCATTGATTGCGCGGTGCTGAGCTAGGGCACTTCAGCGCTTACGAAGACCACCAAGGCTCCCTCCCTCCTAACCTCGGCCTCTTTGTTGTCCACTCCCTCCACGCGCGGAAGCCGTCTGCGTGAGTGGTCCGTCGTGCGGCCGGTGCGTGTCAGGCGCGTATCTGAGGCGGCGGTCGTCAGCGGCGCCGTACCGTCAATGATCCGAGGCACACCGATACCGACCGCCGCCGCTCGATAATGAGACTAATTACCGGCATGGCCGCGCTCCCTCATGAAAAGACGTCGACGGCAACGGCGGAGGCGCGCGGCGGCCGCTTTTGTGTGTCTCCCCGCGCCCGCGGGGCCCGAGCGACGCCCCGCAACTAATGATCGACAGTGGCGGCCGGATTTGGGCACGACTGCCCCCCCCCATCGGTCCCGGTCCCCGCGATTGGTCCCCTCCCCCTTGGCGTCGACGACGGACCGACTTTGGCCGTCGGCGGCGGCTGGGCGCGGGTCGGAGGGGCGGACCGGCGGTGTGGGGATGATGACCCGTCCGGGGAGCGATTCCGGGCCGCGGTCGCCGCGCCGGGGGAGCGATTGGCGGTCGGATCGTGTCTGGGGCTCACTGGAGGATCGCCGGCCGCCAGCGCCGCCGGCCAACGCTGAAATGGAGATCAAACAGCTCGCCGGCGCTCTGTGACACCGGCAGACAGATGGGCGGCCGTATTGCAGACACGTCACCCGAAGAAGTATCGGCTCAACGCGGCCGGAGACCGCGGCGACAGCCATGGTCGGCGGCATTCCAGCGAGGCAGAATTTCCTCGTTTGAAGTCAACCAGTGCAACATAAGTCATCGGCGGGCGGGCCGGCAGCGTGCCCTAATCGGGGCCTGGCGCCTACTGATCAGCGGCGGCGCGGAAAGGCGGTATCGATGGCCCGAGAATATATGGAGTGGGGCGTGCAAGTGTCATCGGAGCACCCGGCGGCAGAGCAGATCTCATGGATATTTCATCGAGCCGGAGCAGCCCAATCTCGCCACGCAGAATATTTTGCCGGTCGGCGCTTACCAACATCGAGCGAAAACATCAACGGGCTCGGGAATTCGCCGCTTTGATCAGCGCTCGTCTTTGATGGCGCGATGTGCGATGAAGTTTCCAACTGCTCGTAATACCGTGGCCGTACTCTTTGCACCGTTGATGCTCACATCAAAGAGCGGCGCGGTTGGCCGCCTGCGGCCATCGGTGACCTCTGTCGGTCGGGTCGTCAGCCCCAGCCGCCCTGCCCCAGCGTCCCGCAGCGGGTGCTGAAAGCGCCGCCGGCGCCCTCCCGCCGCGCCGGATTTTCCTAAGGGCCGTTCACGCGGCGCTGACTGCGACGGCCGATTTGCGGCGCCCGACACGGTTCGTTAGACGACTACACAGTACAAACTTGCAACCTCTGCAACTGCTAAACGCATTATGTCCGCGAATGCGGCGCAATCAGCGCCATTATTCGGTCCGGGGCTTGATCGGCTCCCGGGGCGCCCCGCGGCGAGCTGCCGAGGGGAGCGGACGAGGACCCGAGGGCTCCCGTCGCCAGTGGAGCGGGGAAACTGACGGCCATTAGTCGTCGCCGGTCGCCGCGCGGCGCACATGTTATAATTGCCGTAATCGCTGTCGGTTCCGACGACGGCGGCGACGGCGCTGTCTGGAGGGGCGGTCGGAGGTTCGTCTGCTGGGGATGGTTCGACCGGAGTCTGTCTGGCTCTGAGGGCCAGGAATCTGTGGCCGTCCGGCGCGGGGGTCCGGTCGACTCTCCCACCGGCAGAGACAGACCTTTCAACACCTCCTGCCGAGGCCGGACAGCACGTGCTCGGGGCTGCGCACCAGTCGAGCGCGGCCAGCCCATCTCGGCACCTAGCGTCACTGCACGCTCGACCTCCGAACGCAAACATGTCGATGCAACGCAGCACCTGCCGCGGCCGTCCGCGTATCAGCCCCGGCCGGACTGCGTTCACGGTTGACTGGCGGTTCACGGTCGCCGCCCCTTCGTCCGCGCACGAGTACACTGTTGCAGGACAAACCGCGGAGATTTCCAGAGTCGTCGGCTGGAGGCGGGGTGCGCGGTCGGTGGCGGAGTGGGTGCCGCTTTCGCACCCCGCTCGCACCTGCACCGCACCGCCGCCGGCACCACCACCGCTCCGCTGTCGCTCCCCAGTCCATCCACGCCGCCGGGCCACGCCCGCCGCGCACTAATGCGCCCATTTGACAAACGATCCCATAACTCAGACGAGAAATTACATTACGGTCATGAGCGCTTCACGCACGCGGCCCGGGCCCGTGTGATATCTTTCCTAATCTAAGTGCCAGTTTGCATGCGAGCCTATTTCTCGCGCGGCCGGCCGCCGTTGCCGACCCGACCAGCGGCAGTGAACATGTCAATGTGTGATTTGCTGCCATTGGCTTTCATGGCTCGGAAGCCCATCGCCGCTGTTATAAAACACTGACGAATACATTAAGACCGCACTAATGTCACTGCCAGCTATTAAAACCCGCTGGGCACGGGTCTGGCGGACGACCATTGAGCACCCAACAGGCTGCGAATGGGACGTTTCATCAGGAACGGCGGGACCCCACACGCCGCGCCAGAGCACCCTTCTCCAGCCCTAATCGAGCGCGGCTGGCGACCGATCCACACCACAACGTTCACCTCTCGTTGCATCGTGTCCGCTGACAGCTCGGCATGGTGCATCCTTTCCGGCGGCGGCAGACGGCTGTCGACTGTCGTGTCGTCACCTTGTACCTCTTCGTCCGGCGCCTTTCGGGGATGAACCGCACCCGTCGTCTGCTGCATGGTCCCACTCGTGCAAGCTCGTGGGCCATCCCGGAGCAGTCACATCCGGCCGTCTGCGGCTGGTCTGTTGGCGACCAGTGTCCCAGCGTCGGACAGTCCTTCCGTTCCTCTGTTATCGCGCGCCTGTGTTTATGCCAACCTGCGTGTTCATGCCGTCGACTGGCGGTCGTGGCTCTCGTGACCCGCCTACCGCGCCGGGTCGGGTTGGAGGGTGCCGGACATTATACCGCCGGACGTGTGAGAAACGGCCTGTCGTGCGCGCCGCGCCGCCGCCGTCGCCGCCGGTCCGTGCGCGCTGCATTGTTGTGTCGACGCCGACACCGTAAATCGCCACAATCGATGTCGGGTGTCAGTGGCAAATTACCGGCGACCTGGCTGCCGGCGGGGCCACTTACTGACGCCTGCTGCAGCGGCCCACACACCGGGAGCGGTGACGTTTATGTCTGTGTTCGAGAAAGTGGCGAGTTTGGAGCCGCGGATTCAACCTCGGGGTTTGTTATCGTTATTCGGATGTGTTGAGGAAATGTTAGCGCTGCTAAACATTTGGCACATGGGCACCTCTTCCTCTGCGGTCGATGTTGAACGATCTGGTACACGGATAGGAAGGAAGAGGTCAGAGCAGTTCGCGCATACCTGAAGTGGAATATCACAGTAACAGGACCAGGGGTGTTTCAAAGATGAAGCCCACCGGCCGCCGCGGTAAGGTACACAGATGAAAATACTTCTGTTGCCAAGATCGCCTTCCGCTCTTCTGCCTCGAGGCAGGCAGCGTTATGTAATGGACTGGTTCTGAAATGGGGCGAGCCGAGCCCCAGCAACACCTAGGCGGCATCAAAGTGACCGCTGCAAAACACTAAATGCATGGAGCTGGAACGTTAATGTGCGAGTGAACACGTGGAAAACACGTCCCGTTTTTCACTGACGCGAGGCAAGCTCGATTTACTCCCATTTTTTTGCACGGCCCTTCCGCCTCAGCGCCTCTTCAGCACATTTATGCTCTACGGCCGCCTCTTTTAGTCGAGCCGCTCGCAAAATCAATTATTCACCCTTCCTTCCGCATTCTTGCGTTTCCGTTCATCCTCGCACGAGCACTCGATGCTAAAACGAGTCATCGCTTTCATTGCCGCCGCCGCGGGTGTCATTTGTCCGTGTCTACCGCGATTTGTTGTGCATCGGTGCAGACTGCGCGCACCCAGTCATCATATCGACTTTGGATGGGCTCCGAGGGGGGCGTCGGAGGGGGCGTCGGAGCCGACGATCCTGGCGGGCGTCGGGCTCGACGATCGCACTCCGTCGCCGCCGACGGTATCGCTGCAGTCGTTTCCGTTCGCCGAAACTCGACAGCCGGCCGTCTGTCTGACAGATTCGCGTAGGATTGTCGCCGCTGAATCGAATTGTCGCCGTTATTGCTCGAGTGAAGAGCCGTTTTAGTTCGAGCGGCGGTGACCGGTCGACCAGGGCCGACCTCAGGGAGGAGATGTGAGGGGAAATGGGTACACTGACCCTCGGTACATGTATCTATCGACAGCAGTGAGTTCTGTGAAGACAGATCCCATTCTCTAGATATCGTAGGGGACTTAGCACACCATTCTATTGCTGCTTGCAACTGAAGTCGACCTGTGTCTCACAACACGATAGCAACGTTGCGCGCAGGCTGAGTGGGTTGTCCCCGTCCGTCTCATCAGCTAGCTGATATTTCCGCCGTGGTACAGCTGACAGTCTGCAGCCCACTCGTCCGACCACCTCTCATCAGCGCCGTCCTGGCATCAGCCGGGTCACCGTGATGATGATATTCGAGCAATGATAAATATACCGACCGGCGACAGAGGTGTAATTGCGCTGCGGGCGGCTGATCTGTGTTTGTTTCTCTGTCGCGCTGCTGGCCGTGAGACGTCACCGGACGTCCCTTCAAACCATGTGACCGGGCCGGGCCGGGGAGGGACGGGACGGGACCCAGCCGCAATGATAGTCCCCCGCGGTCAGCTGAGCTGGTGACCGGACGTCGTGGTCAGTTGGAGAGAGCCTCTCATCAGCCACTTCCTGACCGCAGGCGCGGCCGTCACGGCGACCTCCATCGCCGCTAATATTTGGACAGGATATCGGCGCTCACGGTTCGATACAAACACAGAGCGTGTACGGGCGGGTCGCAGACAAACAGGGAGGGGAGGCACGGCTGTGATGCCGACGCCACCTGTTCTGCCGACCGGAGTTTGGCGACGATAATCAACGTCGTGTCCAATCGACCGCCAGCGGAGCGAAATTGGAGCGGAATTGAAACTTGTTGATCCGCGAATCCGAGCCTGGCGTGGATTAACCCGATGGTGAGCTGTTTTGCAGCAATACAGTGATACGGAGCTCCGGACATTGCGGTGTTACTGTTATCTGCCTGTAAACAGCGATACTTTACCGGCCCTTGAAAGTTAAATCGGCACGGTATCGGGGACTATCAGACAGAGAGGGTATTAACACTTAACAGGGGCCCCATGCGTACTTGTAGACCCATGAATGCCCGACACATCATTTACAAATGGCAGACGATCTGTTAAATCGACGTTAGATTGATTAAACTTAAAATCAAATCAGGCACTCGATGGGGAAGGGTGACGATAGGTGCCAACTGCCAATACTTCAGAACTCTGATACCAATTGATACACCACTGCTCGTATGTAGATACCGCTGGCTGAAAACAGCTTCGAACCGGCACTCCTTTCTGCTCGGAGACCTCAGATCCCGCTGCACCGCCGCACCTGGCCTCTGCCGATTATGCGCCGCTAAACTCGACATCGACTAGCTCCGTCTGCCGATTTATGGGGTTACCGCAGCGACACTGCACCCGGCCAACGTTGACGTGACTCTCAACAACGTACTGTTACGCGCTGGGCATGCTAATCCGGGTCGGTGATGGGCCCAGGCAGCTACCTGAGGTCGGGGACCGCGGCGCCGCGCTGTGAGGAGGGTGTGGGCGGGAGGAGAGGTGTGCTGTGACAGGCAGCTACTGCAGAGGAGCCGTGGGACTGAGCACTGCGGCGGGGTGGGCGGAGAGGGCAGGTGTTGACTGGCCACGGTTAATGGTGGGATTCCTTTGATCAGAATGGGTCCCATCACGGCAAAGGTCAGTGAGATGTTCAACTCGCTGTCTTCTGCGGCGGAAATGGCTCCGGCGGGGCTCGGGGTCCGACGGGGGCGGCTCTTCCATCCTGAATCGCCGCGCCGATAGCCCCATCACGTCCGCAGAGGGCGTCTGGGAGGCTGGAAACTCGCCGCCGCACGAGCGGAGCGCGGCTAACGGGTCAGCTGGGAGCACCGCTCAGCACTCCTACACCATGCAATTTGTTCCATCAGATGAGCGACCGGTCGAGAGGGCGGGCCGGCCGGCCGACGACGGCGTGGCGACGGGTCGCTTTGTCGCGCCGCGCCGCCCGTCAGATCTGCCGCTGCCGTACGGCGCTCTGGCCAAACTCAGTGGGCAATTCGCGGGATGAATGTGGGCATTCGTGTGATTTGCATAGCGTCCGACCTGAGACCGTATTTTTGTGCCGGCTGCCTGTTTTATGGGCCGCTTATTTCACGAGGTCTGTCACGCGGTGCAGGGTCGTGTCACATAAAACAGCATAACGCCGGTGCCGGGGTGAGCCGCCCATGTCGGCTACCGTGACGCGTCGGGCCGCCTCTGCCGACAGCCCCTCGTCGCGCCGCATTATTACCGCTCTGCGCTCCTCTCCGCGCTCCCTCTCAGCCATCTCTCATCCTCGCCATTTTTGTGTTTTGCATCTGCTGATTCTTCATCGGGCGGTGATCGCCGTGCCCTCGCCCTCCTCGCGGCGCCACCATTCATCTCGATTTCTGCCGGCCGGTGGCTCTCGTCTGCCTTTCTTCTGTCGGCGAGGCGCTCCGCTCCCCCTCAGTCTTTTGCGGACGCCAGCATGCCCGAGGCGCGCTCCCTCCTCCGTCCATAAAAATAGCGGCCGGCACGGGACGCAGCAAACGGCAGAGATGGCATCGATGAGCGCATCGTGCGGCTCTAACTGCAGCTACCGAGAGCTGGCGACGGCTCCTGGTGAAACGACCGCCCTAAAACGACGTACGATCGCCACCAATTGACATCGCGATCGACGCTTCAAGCTGAGAGCGGCCATCAGTCTCGACGCTGGTCGTGCATGGCTGATGGTCGTTCGTTTGGCCACAGGAGTGATGTCGCATTTGTATCGCATTGTCCGGGCTTACTGCTAAGCTGGTCGTCCGTTCTCGGTGTCTGCGGTCCTTCGCAGCGATGACGTCACAACAATACGTAGGCTGATGTGTTTGCTATGCGGACGTCGGGCGCGATCACCATCACGCTCATAACTAGTGCTCTGCCGCGCCCGCTGACGCCCCCATCTTCCCTTTGTGCTGACCGCTGATCTGCTCTCTCCCTCTGCTGACCTGCTCTCTCCCTCTGTCCGCAGGTTGAGCTGACCATCAGAACGCTGCCGGCGCTGCCTCCCGGCGCAAAGTACCAGTGCATCTTCGGGGGCACGCCACCCACGGACGCGCGGGTCACCGCCACCGGCCTGTCGTGTCAGACGCCGCCGCCCGAGCTGCGGCCCGCCGTGCCGCCCGGAGCCGACCACGTGGCCGTGCCGCTCTCCGTGCGCTCCTCAGAGACCAACAAGGACTTTGTGTCGCGCGAGTTCTCCTACTACGACTGCGGCCGGCACGCCACGTGCGCCGACTGCGCCAGCTCGGCCTGGGCGTGCAACTGGTGTGTGTACGACAACATTTGCACGCACAACGCCACCTCCTGCCGTCGGACGGTCGTCTCCGGTGAAAACGTAAGCGTCATGCGACTTCTCGCAGAGGTGCGTCACGACTTACTCTGTCCGCCCGTCATTTTCATGTCCGTCTTGCCATGCTAGCTGTTGCAGCATTTACACAGAACGGCACTCGTCACCTCGTTGGAATTTCAGCGAAGTTTCAGAAAACTTGTAGTTTGCATGGCCTGCTTGAAAATTAGATGTCTTTATCTTGTAAACGTTTATCCTCGCGACATTTCACTCGCCAAGAGTCGACTGGGATTTACGTGGATTTGCTATTTTTCAGTCTGTCTCGCATGCAAGCGTCTGCCTGCAAGCCTGCCTCTTTGTGTCAGCGCTTATTGCATTTCCATTACTTTTTGCCACGCATCCACCACTCGATGGTCGTGTCTGCACGCTCTCACCATGTATGTCACCCTCGTATACCATCATTATGCATGCGTATTATTTATCTATTCCTGGTTCATTAATCTGCCGGTCGTCGGGATCACACACAGCGCTGGCGGCGATCCATTTGGCCGGCCGTCCTGGCTCGGACATATCCCATTTGCCGGCAGCCGAGGGGACGCGTCCGGTCGGTGGTGACGCTCACTTGCCCACCGACTGGGCATTGGCTACCCCCCATGATCGACCTCCCCCGACTGACCGCCGCGCGTCCGTCCGTGAGGTCCGACAGGGGTGGCCGGACCGCACGCCGAAAAAACCCGCTCCACCGCCGCCGCGTTGTTGTAATTCGGCCGTCGTGAGCCACCTCTGCTCGAGAACAGAGGCGTCGGTGCTGGCCAGCCGCGATTCCCATTGAAACGTGCTGCCGCCATTCTCGGGCGTTGGTTTCCGGCGATCAGAATCGTTCAGTCCATCAGAGTCGTTAGTTAACTTGCTCGGAACACGTTTCTGTGTTCGAGAGGCGGTTCGTGACTTTGTCGTGATTTAACGGATCATCAATCGTGACATCATGGACCACCACGGCTTCGTGACGCCCGGACCGGCCGGCGTCATCCTTGTGCACTTCCCCTGTTCTTCCTTTCCGTCCGTCCCGCTGCTCTTCGCTTCCGTTGTGAGGCTCCGTAGCACTCCGTCCTGCATCTCTCCGTTTTGTCCCGCCATATACCGTGCCTCTTCGTGTTTCTCTTCCCGTACCGTTCCGCCTCCGTGTGTTGCTGTGCCACCGCGCTGAGTCCGACGACTGTTTATCCGGGCTGGGGGTGTGGGATCCACACTGTCCGCCGGCGCCGCCGCCGGGTTGCATGCGGCCCGTCCCAGCCCTGATTACAGGGCGGTCACAGACACGCTGCGCCTCACCTCACCTCTGATGTCACTTACGGGGACAGTTTCAATTCGACCGGACGCCGTGAGCCGGCAGGTTAATATGGGAGCCGCGCTCAACGCCGAGTCAATCGCACCTCCGGTCGCGTCCAAAACGGCCCGAGCTGGGCTCTGCCTTCACGGCAGCAGCCGGCGCGGCCCGGTCCGAATTTCAAAGCAGCGGCCGAGTGTTTATCGACGGCCGTAAAAAGACGCCGCCGTCGCCGTCTCGAACGGAAACAGTGGACCGTTTCCGCGCCGCGAACTCTGCCTTCTGAGGTATCTGGGAAGTGTTTGATTCGGTAGCAATGCAGGGAGCGGTGACCCGCCGCCGACCGATCGCAATGATCGGTCTCTGTGCGCGTGGATCCGTGTCAGGTGGTGTGTAATTTTCCCGCCAGATGCCGCTGCCGGCGCCGGGAGATGAACGGTGCCCGCCGCTCCCCGCGCTCCCGTCGCTGGCCAGGGGAATGTATAATTCGTCTCGGCCTCCGGAAAACACTATCCCGCGCAGAATCCATCATAACTGGGGTAAATTATCACCGGGAATCATTACTCGGCGCGGCCATTAGGGTTAATACAGTGTCGCTTGCTCCTCCGCATCCCCCAGCTCCCCTCGCGCGCGGTACTCCATGCTCAGGGGCCGCTCATCATCTCTCCCTCCATACCCCTCCGCTCAATAGGACCTCAGAGCTTCCGAGCATGTAAATTGACAACTTCTCCATCCCTGCGGCAGCTCGTCTCGCTGTTTCCAGCTCATATCTGGCTCGTCGGCGCCGCGGGAGTCCCAGTTCGCTGCTCTCCCTGATTCAGTCTTCTGTCTCCGTTAGTCCCCTCATTCCGTCTCCCGTCGCGCGGCTCAGTCTCCCTCCGCTCTGCCACCGTCCCCTCCTTGTCGCCGTCGCGCTCTCTCGCTCTCCCCGCTCGTCTGCACGCGCACAGCACGGCCGGCGACCGCAGCGCGCGGCACCGCTTCTCCGGCCGCGCCGCCACCCTGATAAATTACGCCCGGATTAAGATTCGTTGATTGGCTGGGGCGCGCACCATGCCGCCCTCCTGGAAGTGGCTCTCGTCGTCCGTGGAAGCACGGCTCCCCTCGTGCGATGAAGAGCGGCCGCTCCGTCCCGCTGCTCCGGGGCGCTTTTTCTGCTCCAGGCGAAATGGAACTCCGACGTGACCTGAGTCGTATAGAAAGAAAGACGCCGCGATGCGCCCCCAGTCGAGCTCCCCTCCCCACCGGGAGACGAGCTCCGTCGAGCCGTTTTCATTTGCATTAGTTTCGTTCCGTTTGCTGTCGGAATTGTCGGTTTGTAGCCGAGGTGAATATTTTCTCGTATTTTCCACTCATTTGCTGGCTAAGTTTCGCGGAATAGCGTGTCGCCGAATTTGTCAAATTATCACGGTCTGTATGAGCGCGGGGCCGGGGTGCACCTCCATTAGAGCCTGGCTGGGCTCTCGCCCTCCCCAGTCCCGGTCCCGAACCCTCCCCGGTGGACACATAACGAAGATAGAGCGGCGACAGAGATTTAGCAACAATGAATCGACGAAAGGAAGGCAATTATTAGATTAGCTCTAGCAGAATTAATAGCGCACTCAGCATCTGTCAGCCGGCACTTCCTAACAGCTTTGTCAGAATTGATCCAACACGCCAGCAGGCAGCATTACAAACATATGCATGCAAAAGCAGACTTTTCAGACACGTATCCACGACTTGCATCATCAATTTTTGGAGAAAAATAAATAACCGAATGCCTGAACGAGGTCGTTACACGATGCTGCATAAAAATAACACCCCGATAAGACACTGATAACATGGTTACAGCAATTCATGCACCGATAATTCGCATACCACCACCATGCTTCAGGCCGAGCGTGTGATCCGTTCACGAAACAGCAACGTGGCACGTATGACTTCAGCAAGCGTGGACCTGAAAACGGCGCCCATTAGTGCATCCAGGGGTCGAGCGATCGGTCACCGCTGCAGTGCGCAGTGGTCGCCAAACACTGGCGATCTCTGCAGGCGGGCGAATTTCGCCGCTCGCGTGACCAGGTCGGTTTGGGGCGACACGCCGCGCTCCGACACTGAAAGGCGCTGAGAAATGAACTCTTTCAATCATCGCATTTTGCCAGTGACAGCTGGGAGCGAGTTCGAGCGACTCGGCCGGTCGGCGGCGGTGTCGGCGGCGGCGGCCCCTCCCGCTCCCTTCGCTCGCTAATGGTGGCCGGCGCGGCGGTGTGTGCGCCCCGCCGACCCCCCGGCGTGCCGAGCGGGGTCGCCGCCGCTCCCAGTCGGCCCTGTAATCAGGCTGTTTCCGGCTGTTTGGTTGCCACTCGGCCGTCTCCCTCAGTTTCCCCAGTTCGGAGGCGGTCCCCGAGTTGAGGGACTCACTGGATGAAGGTGCCTCTATAATGTACCGGTCCCTCGGGTACAGTACCACCACGGGGTACCGGCCCCGGGTGTGACTGTGGACACCACTCCGTACCAGTCCCATGGGTCTGATACCGCCGTCACCACAGTGTCGCATTCATGGCGTCGTCAGGATTTTGTCCCGTTTTGGCGATAAATTCGCCCACCGCTGACACGCCGACCATAAAAAGGCGATTATCGCGAATGAAAGCGGCTCCGATGCGAATGGCTCCGATCGACTGCCAGGGGGGCAGGAGGGATGGAGGGGGAGGGCTCACCACAGACGGGCCTACGCAGTCGCCCGTCCCGACACAGCATACGCTATGCTGAATTGCCGCGTGGCAATGTCGTATTGCTGGTGGTGACGCAACGGTCCGGTCCACACACTCCGAGCTGACATCGCTGGGTGATTGATTGCCGGGATAGGGCGGGCTAGAGCCACCCGGGACACGACGTCGACGTTTCACGATCATTGACCGGGCGCGCCGAGTGCCCAGGCCCGTCCTTGGACTGATGTTCCGTGCAGGGTACTCGCCCGGTAGCGACACCCGTCACCATCACCTGACGTCACCCTGGACCGCCTGTCTCATGTCCTTCGCGGTCCCCGCTGTTCCGGAGACTGTCTATCATTGTAATCGCTCGGGTAGTGCTGTGTGCCCTGCGCAGCCTGTATGATGTCTTCTGTTGATGACCAGCCCTGTTCACTGTTGACACGAGCATGTCGGTGACGCTGAGAAGTCGCAGAATGTCGCAGAAGCTGAGAAGTCGCAGAAGGTCATGCATGCTGTTTGGTTCGCACAAGACGTAGCATGTTACGCTTCCAGGTGGTTGGATTTAAGACGATCTCTGGAGCTTTGTGTAACTGATGTTATACTAATACCGCTTCAACCTTCTTCAAATCTAACAGATACTCGTATAACTTGCCACTTGTTCTATCAGCTACTAATATTAGCTCTGCTGCTCTGTTTTCATGTTGCTCCTCAAAGGGTCTTTTCGACATTTCTAACCATGACACTGATGCCAGCTCCTGTGATAAATGTCGTACGTCTCCCCTTAAATGTACACTTACCTCCCATCCACGACCCACCCGCTCTTCAGACTTCCTTCTCTCCTCTTCCCTCACTGACCCCACTTCCCGTCTCTAACTGACCCTCTCCCGTCTCTCTCCACGCAGAACCCGGCTCGTCTCATCACACACGGCGCCGCCTTCTGCCCGCGTTTCAAGCCCAAGTCGACGCCGACCCTGCTGCCGAACGGCCAGCGAAGTCAGGTCGTTCTCGAGGCGGAGAACCTGCCGCGACCAGAGCCTGGACATGCCGCCTTCCACTGCATCGTCGACATCGAGGGCGCCAAGATGCGCGTGCCGGCTCGCGTCGAGAGCGGCCAGTTCGTTGTCTGCGAGAAGACGACCTACTCCTACCAGGCCGATGAACGGGAGATCTCTGCCAAACTGACAGTCGTCTGGGACGGCGATCATCTTGTGGACGCCACCAACATCACGCTCTACAAGTGCGGCGTGCTGGGCAGCCACCGCGGCCACGCCGACTGCTCGCTGTGCGTCACCCGCGACGCGCGCTACAAGTGCGTGGTGTGACGGCACGTGCTCGCACAGCGCTGACTGTCGTCAGAGGCCAATGCTCGAGTGTCCCAAGCCGCGCATCGACCTGGTGAGTAGCGAACGTCGTCTGCGTGCGCGCCGCCCGCGCGCGACGTCGCGTCGAGACCCATCTATGCTGATCTAACGCTGATCTATGCTGATGTGGCGCTGATATACGCTGATGTGTGCCGAGCTGCTCCGGTCGGCGCCGCGCTCGGTCGGCGGCTCGGCGTATCGCCGCGGATCTGCGCGGCTGGCCCGGTGGTCGGGAGGGTGGACCGGTTTTTGTGCGTGGCTCGCGCCGCTGCCGAGTGGCTCCGTCTCCTCTGTGCAGATTCCAGTCATGTCGCAGTCGAGCTTGCTTGCTCTGCTCAGCTCTCGAGAGATGAGAACTGATAGGAACTGAGCAAGCGTGAATGGGCATCGAGCATGCCGAGGCATTCATCCCTCGGTGCAGCTTGAATGGAATATCATTCCTCTTTCGGAGAACATCGTAACCTAGAGCGGCTCGCCCGCTGACATGCTTGCCATTGGATCATCAGTCACGCTGCCTCTTCTATTTTATTAAAACATTTTAGCATAGACGACATTCCCCTGCCATTCATAAAGATACAGCGCACAAAAAAGCGATACCACCATCATTTTGGAGGGCGTCGCCCGCAGCCTCAGCCAAGAACGGGGCAGCTGCGGCGGCCCGTCGTTACATATTGACGTCCGATCGGCGCCACCGATTTCCATACTGTTTACGACACGCGGCCACTTGTTTAGTCAATAGCCGTCGAATCTCATATGGCAGCCTACAAATCAGCGCGGCTGCCATATCCGAGCCGTTTGAAGTGCAAATGGTGGTGGGGCGGCGCGGCAGCTGCCCGGCCGGATGGCGTGTCGCAGCCGTGTGAACCGGTAATTACCCCTGCGACACGTCGCTTTAGTCGTGTTTTCGTGTATCGCTCATACAGAGGGCCGGTTTTTACCGGCGATCAGTGCGTCGATTGCGTCGCGGCCTTTTTCGGGGGCGGGCGATAGGATCGTGCGCTGAGGTGGGTCTCTGGCGGCGACCCGGCCCGTCCGCCGCGCCGGGAGGGCGCCGCTCCGTCCCCGGGGATAGCCATACTCAGCGTCCCATTAGGGTCGCGACGTGTCTCGACTGAAGGAATGCGAACGACATCGATTTATTGGGGTACCTATGGTCGTCCCTCGTTTCCGGACCGTTATAGTGACGCAATGGCGTCGCTTAGTTACGTCAGCGACTCAGTGTTTTTCGCCTGCGCTTGCTTATTTATTCATTATAACCTGCAATAACGTCGCCTCAAGTGTATTCATCGCGCACGGCGTTTCAATTCGAACACGTGTTCTACGTCTGGTGTTATCTCGAGTCGGCCGTGTGTTCCAGCTCACCCTGCCCTATAATCAGATACGCGCCGTACCGGTGACCCTGCGCTGACCTCTGACCTTTGACATGTGACCCGCGTCTGACCCACACCCGGCACCCGGCAGATCTACCCGCTGAGCGGACCCGTCGAGGGCGGCACCCTGCTCACCATCGAGGGATCCAACCTGGGTCGCAGCGCCGAGGACGTGCGAGACAGGATCCGCGTGGGCGGCGTGCCGTGCACCCTGGTCGAGTACCAAGTGTCGGTGCGCATCGTCTGCCGCACCGGCGCCGCGCCGCACCCCATGAACGTCGCCGTCGCTGTCGGCAACGACGCCGGCTTCGACGAGTCGGCCGTCAAGTACAGCTACCACGACATCCAGCTGTTCGACGTGCACCCGCGCATCGGCCCGGAGAGTGGCGGTACGCGCCTCACCCTCTCCGGCGGCCACCTGACGGTCGGGTCGCGAGTGCGCGTCTGGCTGGACCACCTCCCGTGCGCGGTCACCCAGGGGCCGGGCCAGCTGAGCTGCGTGACCGCACCTTCGGACGGCACGCGCTCCGTGCGCACACTGACCCTGCAGATTGACGCCGCCAACCGGACGCTAGTCGGAAACCCGTTCAACTACACCAGTGACCCGGGGGTGCAGGAGATAAAACCGCTGCGATCGCCCGAGTCTGGGGGACGCCTCATCATGGTGCACGGAACGAACCTGGATGCCATCCAGAAGCCGCTCATGACTGTCTTCCTAGACGACCAGGAGCAGCCTCTCAACGTCACGGTACGTAGCACAAGGGATTGTGGGGCCGTCAGCCTACCACAGCCGGTCGTCCAGGCGATGAAGATTAATTCCAGACCATAGGTCATGAGTTCGATTCTATTAGACGGAAACTTTCACTGCCTATCGCACATTTTGCTCTCGTTGATGTCGATTTATCGTAGCGCTATCAGCATGCATGCATTCACGATCGGCACGGTCCGTTTTAGTGCTGGTCCGATGCAAGTGCCCTGTCTCGGGTATCCGGAGCGAGGCTCGTGATTTATCGGGCCACGTCGGCCGGCTTAAACCGCGGCTAATCATCGGTCCGACGCCATCTTGCCTGATTAGCGCCGACCGGGCCCTGATTTATATTCTCTCGCGGATGAGCAGACTGCAGCCTAAGTAACTCGGCCTGATGGCCGCCAGATGAATAATGCCCGCCCCGCTTATGATACCATATGCTCGATATATCGAGCGCGCCTATCGACTTCATGCAGCCTTTGAGCCCACATGACACGCTCGTGTTCCGTCGGCCGTCTATCAGGCGTGTCGGGCGCGCTGCCAGCCGGTTCGGCGTCTCATCCCTCCCCTGCCCTCCCCCAGGTCTGCCGCGTGCTCAGCAACACCCAGATGCAGTGCCCGTCGCCTCCCGTTGACCCGCGCGCCGTGAGAGGTCTCGGGTGGCAGCGGCGCAGCCCCGACAAGCCTCCATCCAAGTTCGCCCGCTCGCCACGGCCGCCCAACGACGACGTTCTCAGTCTCAACATCGGCTTTGTCATGGACGACGTCGCGAGTGTGCGCAACCTAAAGCAGCACCGCGCTCCGATGAACAGCGTCCTGCTCTACGTCCAAGATCCGGTAGTCATGCCGTTTCCGGGCCGCGTCAAGCTCTACAAGGGCGACACTCTCGTCATCGAGGGCCAGAACCTGAACCTGGCCGCTGACGAGAGTGACATCCGGGTCCTCATCGGCACCCACTCCTGCAACGTCACCTCCCTGGCGCTTAGCCAGCTAGTGTGCAGTCCCCCGGCCGTCCAGCCGCCGGGGACAGACGACCTGGGCCGGCAGACTCCCGAGGGCGTGCCCCTGGTGGTGGTCAGGGTCGGCGAAAACCTCCGCTTCCCGCTCGGCCTGCTGCGCTATGAGATGATCAAGCCGTACACGTTCCCGCCGGAGGTGGTCGGAGGGATCGCCGCCTCGGGCGTGTTCCTCGTGCTGCTGTCCGTCGTCATACTGGTGGTGTACCGGCGCAAGTCGACACAGGCAGAGCGCGAGTACAAGAGGATCCAGATCCAGATGGACACGCTCGAGAGCAATGTGCGCATGGAGTGTAAACAAGGTGAGACGAACAACGAGATAATAAGGGAGTTCTTAGTATGCCTGTCATGCTGTTTAAGGACATGTTGCTCTTATTAGCTAGGCTAAAACCTGTTTGACTGTTTGCTTCCTGACGTTTCAATCATTGTGAAAGGATAACAGTCCGAGCTAGTGAATGCATAACAGTCCGAGTTACACTGCAATCGTTTTCAATAGCAAAGCAATCAACGTGAAAACTACGACCCCAACGAATGCCCATAATGCACAGGCACACTAACGCTAACTTTGTCTAGCTACGTAGTCTGCAACTACATTTCGGGCCGGCAGTCCCTGACTGGCCGTCCGAGGGCCAAACTTTGTGGCCGTCGGGTGTTTTTGGATCGTGGTCAGGATCGGCTCGACTGAGAACATGTTTACTGAGGAAACGCCAGGCCGTGCAGACTGCTCGTCGCCGCCAATCGTTCTCAGAGTGATCCAGCCTTCGGTAAAACTAACCCGCCTTGCTCCGACAGCGTTCGCCGAACTTCAGACGGACATTACGGACCTCACGGCCGACCTCGAGTCGACCGGCATCCCCATCTTCGACCACCGCACGTTCGTCATGAAGGTGTTCTTCCCGGGGGTGACCGACCACCCGATCCTGGGCGACCCCAAGGTAAGAGCTCCTCCGCCCTCGCCACCGCTGCCGCCCCATGGCGAACTCGATCGTCTGTTGTTATGCCGAGTTTTTATCGAGGCCCAAGGGAACGTCGGCGTCGGGTATCGATTAAGACTCCCTTTGACGAAGCTGTGGCGTTCTTTCAAGCCGACGGGCGTGTCAATTATGTCTGAGCGTGCTCACGGGGCCGAATGTGTGTAAACAGCCGCGGTCGGTTTTTATGGTCTCGGCTTTGATCGCGATTGGCGCCCGTCACGGTTTTCGCCCGAGTCTGACACTCCCCTCCCCGGCAGCTGCGACTGAACGGCACGCGCACCAACTTCGACACGGCCATGCAGCAGTTCGAGCAGCTCATCAACAACCGCTACTTCCTGCTTACCTTCATCGAGGTTCTCGAGTCTCAGAAGTCCTTCAGCATCCGTGACAAGGTCAACGTGGCCTCCCTGCTCATGGTCATCCTGATGTCCCAGATGGAGTACGCCACGGAGATCCTTCGCCTCCTGCTGCTGAGGCTCATCGACAAGTCCATCAACTCCAAGTACCCGCAGCTTATGCTGCGCCGCACTGAGAGCGTGGTAGAGAAGTTCCTCACCAACTGGATGGCGCTCTGTCTGTACGACCACCTGCGCAGTGAGTCTGCCGCCAGTCTGTTCCTGCTGACGGCCGCCATCAAACACCAGGTGGAGAAGGGGCCCGTGGACGCCCTGACGCACGACGCGCGCTACTCGCTGTCGGAGGAGCGCCTGCTGCGAGAGCAGATCCCACACAGCATTGTGGTGAGTACGAACGGAACGAGTGGGGAGTAGGGGAACCGGGAAGACCGGGTCAATGTAGGGTGACAAAGGTAGGGTGAGGGGACGGGCTAGCGTTCGGTGTTTGATCAGCTGACTTGACTGCCACTTGGGTGTGATATGAATCAGTTATCAAGTCCGACTCCTTCGAGTGGTTTGTTTTCCCGTCGGATTATCAGTTCGTGTGTGTACACACTTGTGGATAATGGGTGTGCCTACGTTCACAGAGCGTTTACATACCACATGCCTGCGCGGGCTTTGTATTGCCAACCCTCGCTGATGTAATGATAGCTGTTTACCGCACGCTGCTCACTGCAGTAGCGTGCATTGTGCGTCCTTTGTGCCTCCGTGCGCCGTCTGCAGGGGCTGACGGGTAGCGCGTCCTTCCGCGCCTCTGTCTCCCCTCTCGCTCTTCATCACCGCTCGGCTCTGCACGCGCCGTATGAGCGTCACGTCTTCCCGCTTCCCCGGCGACGGCGCTGCATATTTCACATTGCAACGCGTCTTTGCGCATTGACAAGTCCCTTTACAAGTGTCACGCCCAGTGAGATTAGATTAGTTGGTCGATTTGGTCTGAAGCACTGGGTTTTTAATGTTCACCAAGTCACGTTGCTTTTCTCTTCAGCCCTTAACTCAATGTCGTCACTAGCAAGGCCTCGTCTAACATGTTAACTGGGGGGGCCAAACCCCCGCAGTCATCGGCCTGGCCCCCCCAGTCAGGGCAAAAAGTCACTACTGGGGGGGCCGGCAATAGCCAAAAGGCAAACGAATTTTTAGTTCAAGGTGTCAGTGCACATAAAAGCAAATGTGTAAACGAAACATGGATGCAATGTGAGCACATTGGTACCTACCCGATTACTTAGGCCTGTTATCAATTGTTTATTTTGTTTACCTGACCTTAACCATTTTTGTCGCTCAGCAATATGTTACATGTCGTCTTTTCAGGCGCCCAATTCCGTGTCTCGGATATTCTTTTTTTTATAAATTTAGTACGAATCTTTTGAATGGAAGGATTCACAAGGACAGAGCCCCGCTAAGCAGAGCTTGTTGCGTTGGCCCTGCCCTCTATCCTCCGACCGCGCAATTCCTGATCTATGGTAGAATTTAGAGCCCAAAGTTTTACGTATGCACATGGCCGCGCACGGCCGGTCCCCTCACTGACTTCGACTGGTTACGGGCTGCTTCTAATTGTAATGAAGCAGGATCCCGTGGTGTTCGTACGTAGGCGCAGATTGGTGGTCTGTCTCACCGATAAGTGTGATTATTACTGTCTGGGCCCGATTCACCAAGTGAATATATTCTTGGTGTACTTTGGAAAAGTACACCGACAAAGTACGACGATAATACTATTCGGTTTCGCC